ACCATCGCGTGGGGGGGAGTCGATGTGGGAGCGGGGGCGGGGGGGCGGGGGGGGGGGTGGCGTCCGGCAATTCCCCCCCCCCCCCTGAAATTTTTTTGCCGGCCCGCCGATGGTGCGAGTACATTTTCGATATTGTGTATAAACCGGATATCCATATGTACGTTTAACAGAGACAATAAATAAGCTGAAGCAGATATTTATTTATTAGCAATTTGATTTCACTAAAGATAATCGAGAAGCACTTGAATCGTATAAGAAATCCTTTTCTTCCAACCGTTTTGATTTAATTAACTCTTGTAATAACATGGATGTAAGATATGAAGATATAAAGGATTATTGAAAGCTTTTTTCTTTTATCGACGTATACTGAAAATTCTCGAACAAATATTATCTCGAAATTATCTACACGTTATAATGTACAAAAAAATACTAAACGTCTATTGGTTCAATAAACGACTAAAAACAGCCTTCTTCGAAATTTTATATGATGACAGCCAAATAAGGGAAAAATCCAACACAACGAGGTTGAATCCAAAAGAAGAAAGGAAAAAATTTCTTTACATCGTGCCGCTGATCGATGACTATATAAATCAAAACAAAAAACTGTACGAGGAATCAAAGGAAGAAAAGTGAGTGAGAATCAAACAATAACCAACTTCGAAATTTTACCCAATGAAATTCTAACTGACTGTTTTCAATATCTCAATAGTTCACAAATCTTTTATTCATTTAATCAATTGAATTTTCGTTTCAACAATCTCATTCAACGCATTCCATTACATGTCGATTTGCAAACTTTTCCACGCTCAATACATCAACGTTTTTGTGAAGCAATGTTACATGATTCTGAGATGAAGAAATACATTTATTCATTGCATTTATCCAACAAAGATACCGGTATTTGTATTCGATCATTTTTCAGAATGTTTTCGTTGAACGACTTTCCACATTTACAATCGTTAACTTTAACCGACATAAATTCAACGAATATGGATCAATTAGTGCCAATGCTGACGTATATACCTTCATTGAAATGTTTCCATCTGAACAATCCCAAATTTGATCCCAGTGAGATCATTTCTTCATTATATTGTTCCGAAATACGAACATTAACACTCCCTCAATTACCTAAGAATTTAACATTGTTACGCCGCTTTTCGTCCTTGAAAAGTTTGACTATTGATAGCTGCAGTATATATCAATTACTTCAGGTACTGAATGATTTATCTACTTTAGAATATCTTCAAATCAATTACTTATCGACAAATGCTGGAACATCTGACAGAGTAAACTTTAAATTTACTCATTGTCTTCGACATTTGGTTATCAACCATACTGATTATGGATTTGGGGATATTGAAATGATAATACGTCATACACCAAATTTAAATCTTTTTACATTATTTGCTTCTTTCCGCTATGATCAAATGAATGTTCAGAAATGGAAACATTCGTTACGCATTTACTTATCTCATTTGAAGGTTTTCAAGTTTTGTTATCAATATAACTACAAAAGAGACCACAGAGATCGGGCGAAAGAAACATTAAGGGTGCTTCAAAACGATTTTCAGGACGACTTCAATAATGGGTTAATTGAATATGTCTTATCACAGGACACAGTAATGATCTATACCGTACCATATGCATTTTCGACATTCCAATTACACTTGGATATGGGGCGATATCGTAATACAGCACTAGATGACGGAAATACATTTAGTAATGTAAGAAAATTAACGATTCATGGGACTCCATATAAAATGAATAATCATTTCTATTTTTTTTATAATGATCAATCACCAGAATGGTCTCCATATCGAGAAAATATGTTCAACTGTCTTACAATGACCAGCAATTTCTCTCATGTCAAACATTTAGATGCTTCACATGTTTTCAATTTTGAAAATCCGTCAATATTCTTAGAAATACTGAAAAATACTCCAGAATTATCTTCATTAACTATCTCCTTTAAAATGCTTCGATTATCGCTTGATAATGACGAATTATGTCAATCTCTGAAACGAATGATTCATCAGTTATGTATTACGAATTCATGGTCTTTCTCGTATGACAGCATGTATGAAAAGTTTTGTAATGTATTTTCAAATATTGAACAACTGACATGTTCTGTTGAGAAGGAATGTCAAATGATGCATCTATTAACTAGTTTACCGAGATTAATATGTGCAGATTTCACTGTAACTAAATGCGATGGAGACGATAGAACATCGTGGTCAAATACTCGCTTAAGTGAATTAGGCATGGAGTATCTTGTTCATAACTTAAGTTATACGCATTCATGTTATTCTNCTTAAGATTCAAAGAACGAAGACGAGTTAATTGTGTACTATTGAACGACGAAAAAATAGATTTGGTTCCAATATCGTGCGAAGAATGATTGTAACTTTTATAGTCACAAACAGTAAGTGAAATAATTTTTTCTGATTGAAGATTTTGAGAAACAGATTTCATAGTACAGGTTGAATTTGCATAGAGTGAGACTGTAACTGCGAATCGATCATAAGTGTCAACCATGGCATAAAGTATTTTGCAGACACGACGAACATGTAGAAGAATTGTTCGGAAATCACAGTAATCAAATATACGATGTATCAATTCTGGTGGTATTGTGATAAGAGATGAGTTTTCCATTCCAATATTATTTTGTGCAATGTTCTACAATAGAAAAGAAAACTCAAAATACAACTGCTGTTTTACTTCGTGAAGACGTCAAAAAGCGACATTCGCATAATATTTTCATTCATACATTCACCATCAAGATGAATATGTCGACATGTAGAAGCGCAGGAAAGAAAAAATAGGTTCGTAAACATTTACAAACGTTGAGAGAAAATCAGCAGGGCACGTGCACATAGCTCGATGAAGTGTACTCTAGACTCTTGTCGAATAATACAAAAAACAAGAGCTATATCGATTCTTCGTCGGTCTTTACCTAATTCTCAGGCCGTGAGTGAGACTGGAAAGAGCACACCCCTCAGACATTTGCATCCATCTATTCTAAACGAGAAATGTATTTTAAACCCGGACCATTATTAAATAATGCGAGTTTTGTAGTCAACTTTCAGTCGTAAGCATTCAATCGAAAAAAATTATTTATTTGAAATACTTGTGTTAGTAGTTATGCAAGAGCAATTTCAGTAGTGATTGAAAAGGTTGTACCAATACCCGGAATAGTTGAAGTAATGCCAGATAATATTTCAAAACCTGCCTTGACGTACGTGGAGAAAAATGCGGGATTTTCTAAGATTCTCCATATTACAAATCCAATACCTGAACTAATTCCAATAAATGGAATCTTTTTAGCTACGTTTTCAATTATTCTATCTACTAGTTTTTCCACTATTTTTATCACTACTTTTATCATTGTTTTCTCAATTGCGATAGAGAATGTTCCTTCAGCAGCTATAAACGAAATGTTTTCATTTTCTACAACCGATTTCTCAACTGCTGCTTCTCGTTTCGGTTTCACTAATGTACTTCCAACGCTAAAAATTCCCATTAATATGACACTAGTAGATAATACTATTACTACGACGATTCCTACTACCATAAGAATAGTGCCAATGTACTGAAATCCAACAGTGAGATCATTATTGATTACCACTCTTCTATTTTTCATTACTTTTACTACGATTGTTTATTTTACAAATTGTAAGGCAGCTGTCGATGTACTGCTTAATATGGCTTCAGCTAGTGATTCCAGTACAACGGGCGACTACTGCTATTGCCATGAATTTCATGCAATATGTAAAAACAATGAGAAACTCATAAATGTTTGCGCTAAATCCAACTAGATCTACTGTCGTTATGAAAATCGTTATTGCTGCTAAAAGCGCAATATCAAATTTGACAACAATATAGCCGCAATCAATAATCCAATTGACCAGGAGCTGAATAAATCGTTTGATAGCAACAAAAGGAAAAACACAACAATTAATAATCCAACGCGTAAGACATTGTATAGAGCACTTGACGATATTAATAAAACGGACACAACGATCGATAGCATAATTTCTAACACGGATAATAAAATGTTTAAGAGTATCTAAACAATTATTGATGGATTTGCCACCATAATAAACAAAAGGTGTGAGAATAACAATCAGGATAATACTGACCGTCACTTTTGCGTCAATTTGAATTGCCGTTATTATAAAAACCGGTATCAATGCAGCAGTTTGTATAGGACAGGATTTTTCTTGAATATACAGACATTACTCGTTTCGACTGCTGAGCCATTGGAACTGCGGCAACCTGCGGGTGTGATACGGAATGGTCTTAAAGAGCTCTCTGAGCGATAGTTGAGATTTTGTTTGGAGCAGCAGTTCTGGTGCAGATATTTAGGCGTTTTCATTATATGCCATTAGCANCAGTGGATTATTATCTATGCCGTTAAATGGTTTCAAATTAGGTTGTTATTCACTTGAAACAGTACTTTTATCATCATTATTATGTTTTTATTCCAAAACATGTATTGATAGTTATCACGATTTTACATCCTATGATTACTAAACTAAGCCTCTGGACGTCATTTTCAATAGTACAAACGAAGTAATCCAACTAAATTCATCATTGACACGATTTAATATTAATGATACAATTGAAACAATGGCCAATGAATTGTTTCTTATGAACGATTCTACAATAGTTGTGCACCAAATTATTGTACTTATAAATATTACTATCGATTTGATGCATTTGAATTATTAACCGTATTCTTAAAGTGTATATACCAGTTTATCTATTATTATTCTATTCATTGTGCCATATTTAGTCTCAATAATCAAGAAAATCCTTCAACATTTTCGTATCGTCCCATCTCAATGATCAATTATATATTCAATACAATCTATTCGTTAGCCAAGGTCTTATATGAAGATGAATGAAAATAGATAATAACATTAATTAACAATCGACAATAGTTAACCTTTGCACAGTTTTTGTGTATCCGATGAGACCCGTAACACAACTTTTCGCTTTTCCTAAACGAAGACTGATTCTTTTTGGAACCATCTTTTCGCTAATCGTCAGATTTCTTAATCGCGGTCATGAAATTATCTGTCCAATAAATTTTATATTGACTGAAGTTTAAAAACTCGTTTTCTCTTGTTTCTTTTGTGATATTTCTCGTACGCTCTCGATGACCCACAACACGTCTGCAAATTTGATATCTTCATCTTTAGGTGAAATTCTTACAGAAAATAATCGATCAATGGTTTGCAATCCTGATCGCCGTGAAGTTACCGTCTTCATAACTCAAACTTGCCGATCATGCAAATCTTCTTACCCACTCTATCTGAGAGAAGAATTTCTCGAAGCGCGTCTATCGCACTTGTCGATCTGAACTCTCACTCAATCTACATACCATCCAAAGACAAATTTTCGATCAATCTATTGATAATAAACAGATCTCCTATTTGAACACATATTTCGGTTCTTTCACTCAACTTTTGTGTAAATTCATTTCTATATAAAGATGTAGTTGCGCAAAAAAGGACGATAAAATGATATACCATATTCTTCTTTGAAAGCATTGTACTGAGTGTTCATGATATACGAGATAACGAGAGAACAGAATCTCATTGTTTTCTTATTCAAAATTGATATTCAGTTGAAGTATATGTCTAATTTCGTAATAGGACAAATTTCATATAAATATGATACTGTTCGAATAATACGATATACTCTACTGATGTCACAGCTAACGAAACATGTTGTCTTTCTAGTTCGTTGATGATACATCAGTGCTTTCCTTCTATTAGTGAATATATTCCGAATAGAGTTTGCGAAAAACGAAAACGGGTTAAATAGAGTAATTAGCAAGATAAAAATGCTGTTCGATAATGCATGAAAAAGACTCAAACGATATGTTCACATGTGCTGTTTCCACATTAACCTTTTACTACCATTTTGTACAGCTTCATCTGCTCTATCAGAATTCGTCCAAGAAAATTCTGTTTGATTATATTTCAGATTTTTTGGATGCAAAATGTTCTTCACAACCATTTTGTCGTGGGTATTTAATTGATATACTAACAATGAGTCCAGTTCCAAAGTATATCCCGAATGTTTTTCATGCGAAAACATCAAGTCACTATGATCATTACGACATTAATAACTGTAAATAATGTGCGATATATTGTAGTAATGATGTCACTTAAAACTTGACGATTAACATGGGAACAATGCTTTTACTGCTTAGGCGGAAATGCAATTTGTGATTTACGTGAGTTTGGGTGGTTTATATTGATTTCTTAGTGATTCGAGAACGTTATCTATTTATTTATTTTAATTGAATATTATAATGGAGGAAATTAAAGAGAAGAAAAAACTAGTTTCTAATTTGCCGTATTATCATTGTTATCATCAGCTTTCTCATCGTATTCGACATAATCAACATCTTCATCTATTTCTTCCATATCAGCTTCATTTTCTTCATCATCACCTTCATTGCTTCGTGCACCTTCAAGTTCATTAGACTCNGGGAAAAATTGGATGATCATCGTTGCCGAATGGCGGGTATAACTGAGTGCTGTTTTTTTTAGTCTGGAACTGTCATTAAGAGATAGTAGTTTTTATGGTCAACGATTGAAGAAAAGTTATCCGTTTGCATGGCATATTGATCACAGTTTTTTTGTTAGGTTTTGGATAAAAATCAAAACATGAAACTTGTTTTTCCATGTAAAATGAGTTCATATGACAAACGTTACTTATTGTTAAGTAAAGTAGCCTACTAAAAATTCGTCAATACTGATTGCATCAGGATGTTTTCGAGGATTGTAAGTGAATAGCTTTTCATATTGAATGAGAACATTTCTGAAATAGCAGAGAATCGCTTGTTCGTTCAGATATTTTTGTTTTTGTGCCAATAATTTTCGCTCGTTGAGTATCAACCATTAAGTGTTGAGTTAAATTATGAAATGACACCTCATTTCCTCTGTCTTTCCGAATTACAATATTGTAATCATACTTTAATAAATGATACCAATATTCTTCCCATTCTCGAAAGTGCGCAAAAACAACAGGAGATCCACAAAGTAGTAAGTATTTAAGTCTATTAGAATATGACCACTCTTCCTGATGTAGCAAATACTGATACTCGCAGAACTGCTGTATCGTTTTAAAATTCTCGGAATGACGAGGACTGATAGAACTCAGATTCCAGTCCATGAACTGGATATCCAAATTTGAATCGTTTTTTCTTTGACCAATCTCTGTTAACCATTGGCGATCTCCAGTTCGAGCTCCTCGCCACATTAACTTGTTCATCCAATTTTTCCATTTAATTTTATCGGCTATTTTGGGTCAATTTTCAAGAACAGAACGCCACCTACCAATACCGGGCGCCAATGACATCCACAAAGTAAAGCAACTTATGTTTCTATTCATTTAGTTCCGATGAATTCAGCACAACAGCGTTGTCTAAGAAAGATGACGACAAGTGATGATGCATTTTACACTTATTTAGTCGCCTTTTGGTAAGGATTAATCTTATGTAGTGACTGAGACAGATTTCTTCTATCTAAACTAACACTTCGAGATCAGATATTTTCAGCAAAGATAAGATGGAAGATGATCTTGCTACGCATTGTGATGAGAAATTTTACTTACGAACACATCTATGTTTCTGATCGATTGGAAAATGTCGACGACTTGTTTTAGCAATGATTTCATTTTTCTTGATCTGAATTGAAAATGAACAGCAGTTCGACGATTTACAATAAATAAGGACATGCAGCTTCCATTTTCATGATATCGCTGTGTGGAATATTTTCCTGAAAATTTTTAAAATCCATTTTAATTCTTGAATAGAGACTAAGATCCTTGTTGCTATCATATGGCTCATTGAATTGTTCAAATCTCGTAAAGAGATGTTTTTCAAAAATGGATTCTCATAGTCTAGTCGATAAAAGACTTTCAAAAAGACTGATTCGTCATCATTATAACATTTCAAAGGACTTTTTAACTTCGTAAGTATGTTAGACAATATCAATTGATTGTCAAAAATCGAAGTTTTCAGCATTTTGAGAATAATCAAAACAATAAGAAGCAGAAGAAGCAATATTTTCTGCACACTAAGAAACATTTCAAAATAAAATGTTGTGTGGTTCGTGAAATCCATAGCATTATTTTACTAAAAGAAAAAAGCAAATATTTGTTCGGCATTTTATTCATTTAATCGATTATCAGAGGATAGTGCTTATTAAGAGGTCAATGAGAAACGACGTAGAGTTTCTAAAACTAACAAGGGTAAACAATCTAGTGTAAAAATATAGATTATACCCCGGTTTTTCTGCCAGTTCATCCACTTAGAATAAGAGAGCCACTCTTAAAGCTACCCGTTATTAATGGTCTCATTAAATTCTCGAGAATCAGTAGTTTCTGTACCGACTGATGTCATTTTTAATATTCATTCTGATGAAAATAAAATACTAAGTCACTAAAGATTCATATGAATCTTATGAAAGATTGTTGTACTGTTTTCTACTACTTTTGTCTTTAAAATAATTTCTATGTGCATCTTCTATATAACTGTAACACAAGAAGTTTCTAAGTTAGATACTCCTGGGATTAGATCAATGGTTCGTCAGTTTCTTGAATTTTTAAGGTAACTGAATGCAAGCAGCGCACACCAAAAGTAGAAAAAGTTAATTAGATCTTTTCGATGAATGAATAGCTTGTGAAACATTTGATTGAATCAAGGACTTTCATTAGAATAAAAATACACCTCACATAAACTTATTCAAAGATGAAAGTTGTAAAAACTTACCGTTTTAAACTGTAATTAAAACAATCGATTTTATACGATTCACATATAAAAAACAAGTATATTTAAATTCTCTACTCAAAATACTAAATCGCAGGAAATTTTACTTTATGATTATTAGTAGTATTGAAAGTATTGGTAAATATTTTTGTATTCGTAATTATTAAAGTTTAATTAAGTAAAATTTTTCATTATTTGGCACTTTTCTGTATCTTACTTAGTACGAAATGATAACATTGACTGGGAATTGTAAAACAAATACTTTTTATTTACCTTTGTACGCTAGTGATGGAAGATATCAATATTTGCTTTTGAAGTGATTGATAAACAAAAATATTTTCATAGAAAGACAATTTTTCCTAGTTTTGCTTATATGCATGACATNATTGCATTGGAATCCGACTAGAAAAATTCCGTCGGTTGTTGCAAATTTTATGAGCGATCTTTCTAGCTATATTCTATGATGATCCTTAGAAAATCCAGGAAATCCATGTTTCGGGTCCGACGAGATCCGACGTGGGATCCGGTCGGATCCGAGACCGTCGGAATCCAATGCGATTCCGTCACCAGGATTTCATCGGATCCGTTGAATTCCTGTAGGATCCGATAAAATTCTGTATTGGATCCGATGGGATCCGATGGGATCCGGTGGGATCCGAGTATGGGATTGTTCGACCTGGGTAACAATGACGTCTTCAACAGTGCACTCTTTGACATTCATTTATTTTAGCGATTCAGTCTGGGATAAAGCGAGTCATTTACGACGAACGGTTATCATGGGATGGTTGACTCACCCCGGCCTTCTTCTATTTAGGATCTCTCTCATCGTGTATGTTGGGTAAAATAAAAAATACACTAGCTTGGAATTGCTTTATTATTCATCACAAATATTAATCAATAAAGAAATTACTTGATTCTATTATCTTGTCCTTTCAACTCTTTTTCGGCATCCGAAGAAATACCATCTAATGGAAAAATCTTCAAGGTCTCGACTGTCTATGTGTGGAAAAGGACATTAGTACAAAAGCAGTAAAAATTCGGTAAAACCTACTGTATTGTATCTTAGGGCATTAGCAAGGCGTTTTGCTCCGATATCTTCGATTTCGTTTGACTCAAGAATCAGTGTAGTGAGTGTCTACATGCCCAGAAAGCGACTAGTACGAAACAAATGATATTCATATAAAAATCACTGTGTTCTTTCTTAAAGCATCAGCAAAATGTTGTGCTCCATTAGCATCGATCGAATTGTTTGACATATTCAGTGTAGTAAGTGTCTATATGTAGAAAAGACGATAAGGATGAGGGAAATGGAATTCGAAGGAGAACTACTGTGTTATCTCGTAGTGCATCAGTAATATATTTAGCTCCACCAGCCATAATCTCATTAGTATCAAGATCCAATATGGTTAGTGTCTACGTATGCATATGAAATAGAATGAATATCTTTGAGATAAAAATAGAATAATAATCACTGCGTTCTTGATTAGAGCGTCAGCAAGATATTGTGCTCCAGTTCTTTCAATTTTATTATTGCTAAGGTTCAATGTGGTGAGTGTCTATATATATATATAGAAAGAGATCAATATCAACGAGAGAAAGATCCAAATAGAATGAAAATCACCATATTATTGCATAGTGCATCAGCAAGATACTTTACTCCAGAATCGCCAATAGAATTGCTTTCAAGATTCAAAGTAGTCAGTGTCTATAAGTAAAGAAGTAGACAAGTGTGTGAGATAGATAGCAATAGAATAGAATTCACTGTATTATTTTTTAGAGCAACAGCAAGATACTGTGCTCCAGCTTTTCCGATGTCATTCCAATAAAGGCTAAATGTGGTGAGTGTCTACGCGTGAAGAAGATTATTTATATGATCAGTGTAAAACTTGGACGGGAATCACTTTGTTAGCCATTAAAGCATCAGCAAAATATTGTATTCCAACATCTCCGATAGGATTACCATCAAAATTCAATTCGGTAAGCGCCTATGGATAGAGCAAACGAAGTTGTGCGGGATGAAAATATGAGGAAAATCACCATGTTATGTCGTAAACCGGCGGCAAGATGTTGTGCTCCAGTAGATTTGATTCCATTATAGTCAATATTCAGTACAGTTAGTGTCTATATGTAAAGTAGAACATGTATATATGAGTACAAAAAGAACCAGAATCACCTTATTATCCTGTAAGGCACTGCCGAGATATTGTGCTCCAATGTCTCCGATTTTATCATTTTTGTTTCTAAGCCAAGTGCTACCGAGGTCCAATACGGTGAGTGACTATATGTGAAAAAAATTATAAATAAACGAGAGAGATAGAGATGGAATGAGAATCACATTATTGGTCCGTAGAGCTTCACTGAGATGCTGTACTCCCACAGCTCCGATTTGGTTGCAACTTAGGTCTAGTATGGCAAGTGTCTATATTTAAAGAAAATGATGAATATAACTGAGATGAGTAATGGATGAGATTAACTTTGTTGTATTTTACAGCATCAGCAAGATGTTGTGCCCCGACATACATAATTTGATTGCGTGATAGGTTCATTGTGGTCAATGTCTATGTGAAAGAACGAGAGCGATATGAGAGATCATGAAATAGGATGAAAATCACCGTGTTATTTCTTAAGCCAATTGCAAGGTATTGTGTGTGAGCATCGCCAATATCTTCTTGAGAAAGATCCAGCGTGGTCAATGTCTATGTGTAAAGAAGTAAACAGATATGGTAGAGACGAAGATTGAATGAAAATCTCTATGTCAGTTCTTAATGGAACAGGTAACATGTTGTGTGTCAAAATCGCGAATCTTTCGATGTTACTTTGTCTGTGAGAAAGAAAATCATTGACATCTATTACAATGTGCCTATGAGCGAATGGATGATACATAGGTGATTCCTAGAAATCAGGACAGACATGCAAAATATTTACAATAAAGTCTGTTGCGAGCAGCGAAATTACTCTGGATTCTTTTTCACTAATGATCCTAAGAGTTGCGATCAAACAGTGTTACTGACGAAACATTCAATTTTTCCATCGATCGATTTTTAGTACATACCTGATCTAGAACGCCCCTAATCATTTTATTTGGAGGTCGTTCAGTTAGACGCGGGATGACGTCTATCGACGATATCTCAAATCTGGGTGGAGTTTTTTGACCAATCATGACATTAGGTACTGTATAAAGCCAGATTTCATTCGATCTTGGAATATAGGCCCAAGCCACATACCACTGTTTCTCGTCGAGCCAAAACGGTGTACGAAATACCTCAATGAGTGAATTGAAATCGATGAATTTTCTGTCTACGTCCTTGTTATTATATGAAAAGAAAAATTCAAATCGATCTATTTTTGACATTAGAGTGCAATTGAGTTATTCCCAATAAGAACGATGGAACACAGGCTCAAACAGTTCGAAGGTAGAAATTAGTTTCAGATGATAAAGTGAGTGTATCGGTGAAAGTAGTGATTCCAAATGTTCAGACGCAAGTGAATAACATTCAATAGTTATTGATTCCAACGAACTATGGATTGTGGGTGCACACGACGTCACAGGTATTTTCTTTTCATTTATCATGAAATTTTGCATGACTAGCGTTCGTAATTTTGGTAACTGGTGCAGAATATGAAGATATTTGTTATAGGCACATCTACCAATAGTTAAGTGCTCTAAACTGTATTGTTCTGGCCATGAAGCGTGTTCCTCCAGATAGTCAATAAAGCTCATATATAACTTCTGAAGATTCCATCGGGTGATTGCTTGTAAGAAAATCAACCATGTTACATCATAATTTTTTTCACACGTGGTGATCGAGAGTGAAATTAATGGGGCATCACTCAAACTTTGCAACAGACATTCCAAATGGTTATCCCACATGTTCTTAAGATTCAAAGAACGAAGACGAGTAAATTGTGTACTATTGAACGACGAAAAAATAGATTTGGTTCCAATATCGTGCGAAGAATGATTGTAACTTTTATAGTCACAAACAGTAAGTGAAATAATTTTTTCTGATTGAAGATTTTGAGAAACAGATTTCATAGTACAGGTTGAATTTGCATAGAGTGAGACTGTAACTGCGAATCGATCATAACTGTCAACCATGGCATAAAGTATTTTGCAGACACGACGAACATTTAGAAGAATTGTTCGGAAATCACAGTAATCAAATATGTGGTGTATCAATTCTGGTGGTATTGTGATAAGAGGTGAGTTTTCCATTCTAATATTATTTTGTGCAATGTTCTAAAATAGCAAAGAAAACTCAGAATACAACTGCTGTTTTACTTCGTGAAGACGTCAAAAAACGACATTCGCATAATATTTTCATTCATACATTCACCATCAAGATGAATATGTCGACATGTAGAAGCACAGGAAAGAAAAAATAGGTTCGTAAATATTTACAAACGTTGAGAGAAAATCAGCAGGGCACGTGCACACAGCCCGATGAAGTGTTCTCTTCAGTTCTAACGTTCTCTAGACTCTTGTCGAATAATACAAAAAACAAGAGTTATATCGATTCTTCGTCTGTCTTTACCTAATTCTCAGGCCGTGAATGAGACTGAAAAGAGTACACCCCTCAGACATTTGCATCCATCTATTCTAAACGAGAAATATATCGCTTGTTATTCATATCATCACCATAAATATATTTTAAACCCGCACAATTATTAAATTATGCGAGTTTTGTAGTCAACTTCCAGTCGTAAACATTCAATCGAAAAAAATTATTTGTTTAAAATACTTCTGTTAGTAGTTAAATGGAAATTGTTAATTTTTATTGCATCTTTTATATCAGATGCTGCAAGAACAATGTCAGTAGTGATTGAAAAGGTTGTACCAATACCTGGAATAGTTGAAGCAATGCCAGATAATATTTCAAAACCTGCCTTGACATACGTGGAGAAAAATGCGGGATTTTCTAAGATTCTCCATATTGCAAATCCAATACCTGAACCAATTCCAATAAATGGAATCTTTTTAGCTACGTTTTCAATTATTCTATCTACTAGTTTTTCCACTATTTTTATCACTACTTTCATCATTGTTTTTTCAATTGCGATAGAGAATGTTTCTTTAGCAGCTATAAACGAAATGTTTTCATTTTCTACAACCGATTTCTCAACTACTGCTTCTCGTTTCGGTTTCACTAATGTACTTCCAACGCTAAAAATTCCCATCAATATGACACTAGTAGATAATACTATTACTACGATGATTCCCACTACCATAAGAACAGTGCCAATGTGCTGAAATCCAACAGCGAGATCATTATTGATTATCACTCTTCTATTTTTCATTATTTTTCCTACGATTGTTTGTTTTACAAATTGTAAGGCAGCTGTCGATGTACTCCTTAATATGACTTCAGCTAGTGATTTCAATACAATGGCGACTACTGCTATTGCCATGAATTTCATGCGATATGGAAAAACAATGAGAAACCCATAACTGTTTGCGCTAAATCCAACCAGATATACTGTCGTTATGAAAATCGTTATTGCTGCTAAAAGCGCAATAACAAATTTGACAACAATATAGCCGCAATCAATAATCCAATTGACCAGAAGCTGAATAAATCGTTTGATAGCAACAAAAGGAAAAATACAACAATAAATGGTCCAATTACAAACGCGATAGAGAATAGTTATTAGCAGAATAAATGTGGTAATAAGAAAATGAATAGCTCGAACAAGAAGATTTGAACGAGAACGGAAAGTGTCGCGAGCTTGTTGTAATCTCTCTGTAAGGATATTCGTCATACTGCATTCCATAGTATCATGTAGTGAAGCAAGTAAGAGCTCATTATACTCTTGCAGACATCGTTCCATGCATGACTGTAATCGAGTGCATTTGATTAGTGTTGTTGATTTCGCTGTTAAATTGTTTGATATGTTGTTCTTTAAGTTTCGTTAGAAATGTTCTCAAATTGGATATCGCTTCATTTTTCAATTCAGTAATCTCAGTTTCGTCGAAGGATAAACATGGCTGAATATGAAAATGTAAGAATCTTGAGGGTGAGGGTGAGGGTGAAGATGATTTATATTTTCAAACTATACCGTTCTCAGCATGTCTAGCTTGGAAAGTTAGTACCGTTCGCCCTTTCGATGTTTTGAATTTTCGACATTTATACCCTTCGATATTTTTTCTTTCGACCTTAGCTGGGAGAATCAAATCGATGATAAAAGAGAAATACTTGTTTTTATTCATTTCTTAACGAGTTTTATTTGAAATTGAATTTGAAGGATTTTCCTTGAGTACTTATTATGTCGAGAAAAAAGACTTTCTTCTCACTTACTGTAATAATACACTCTCAAAAATGTTTCGTCATTTACTGCAACGTCTTTGACGAGCATTTTTACAGTTAAATCTGTATAAAAATTCATCAAGTAACAACCAAACTCTTTTGACAGAATATTTTGCTACACGTATTTATGTTTGTTCGTTAATTCTTGTTATTACGATTACAACAGCTTTTATGATTCGTCCAGTAAATTAGTATCAAAATATCCAAGTAATATTCATTGTCCATGTGCAAAAATTGGTATTTCTTACAAGACATTCGTAATAACTCATGTTAAATTTCATCAAGTTTGTTCAAGTCAATTTATTGAACAAACTTGGATTGATATGATATATTCTGCACAAAATATGACTTTGTTATCGTTAAGTGATTTCCGTGTGAGATTGATCTTTTTTTTGGCAACTTATTGCAGGATTTTGTTATATTAATAATAGAACATGGACTGAAATTGTAGTTAGTTTTCGTTTCACTCAAATTCTCAGTCAAGTTGCAATTTCAGAAGATCTTCTTCGAACTCAAGTTTATGAAGATTTAAACAAACAAATAGCTCTATCACGATCAGCACTTGCTCGTGACTTACATAACATTCGGCTAATGATACATGGAAATCAAATGTTATCTGATTTAGGAACAAATTTCTATCCAACATATCGAGTGATTAATTCAATATCCATTAGTTTCATATCTCAAATATCACCACGACTGTATGGAAAGTTGTTCTTGTTTGAATATGAAAGGTTGTGCACATATAGTCTGTTACTTTCAATAACAGTCATGATCATATCATTACAGTACCAGAAATGATTTCAGATTGTTTAATAGTTGATGGTACACTTGCTTCTACATTTGAGTGTTATTATAATCAAACATGTCTTTCTCTTTTACATGAATCTTTACCCATAGTGATAAAATCATTATCGAACGATTGAAACAAACATTTTATGATAGATTCAAGTATACAAATGCTTTTCAATGAAATTATCATTGATGAAATAAGAAGTACAATTCGATTTGATTTATTTTATTCACAATGTTACCCAACATATTGTGCTTATTCATATTTACATCGTTTTCATATAATTTTCATTATCACAACACTCTTTGGTATTTTAGGTGATTTATCGTTTATTTTAAAATTTCTTGTACGATTCATTGTTGCAATGATATTACGGTGGAAACATAAAAACACATCAAACAATACAACATCAACAAATATTCGTCAAAATAGATGTAAAATCAAATTAGATATTTTAATATATATATATACTTGAATTGTTTTTAGGGATAATTCTCTTACATCAACTTCAACTATTACCCTATCAGATCAAACAAAAGATCGTTCGTTTGAATATTTTTGAAGATCAGACACCATGCACACCGATCACTATTTTTCGAGAACAATTTCTAACAAGAATCTTTATTGTTCTCATCAGTATTTGTTCTATTATCGTTGGTTTTTATCTTTCTTTGTTGCTCAAAGTCGAGCTATGATTATTTCTCAGTCATCCTATGATATTTATCAAGAATTATATGAGAAATATCCAAATACATTAAAATGTTCATGTCAACAAGTATCGATTCTGTATAAAATGTTAATCAATGTTACATTCGTATTGCATCAAGTATATTCGAATGATCTTGTTTCATCAACATGGTTATATTGTGTTTCATCGTTAAACCCTATTGAATTATCTTATACAGAATTTTTTCTTAATTTTCGAGCTAAAGGTGCGGCTTATTTCCAGCTTTTGTTCTTTTTCTGTTCGTTAGCTGAAAGTCATATTAACGATGCAACAGATATTTTCAGTAATACACGTTTTATCAATTATCATAGTCTTCCTCCACCACTATTTGTGCAACAAACTGTAGCAATAATTGAATCATATATTGATCATATGCGAGATGATTTTCAGCGTTCAGTCAATTGGAATCAAATTGGTTTAGATATCAATCAAGTTTTAACTGGAACAAACACGAATGTTTATATTTATATCAATAAGAATGGTTCATTCATTTTCAAAAAAGGATATTTTGTTCGGCGTTTTTACTTAGGTAATGATGGTAATTATGCTGTTACTGGTACCTGCGAATGTGAATTTGAATATAAGGATATTCCTTGTTTAAGAAAGAATTTTTTATTCCCAAATAGAACGAATGAACTTCGATATGGATATATATTTCTTGATTTACCAGTTGGTTGTGTACCTTTAAATGGCTTTTTAATATCAACATTCTCATGATGGTATAATCAAACATATTTTGATAAAATTCAACAATCGTATGCATCAGTACTTATCTCACAGTCGTTATCAAATGTTGAACAATTGAATACTTCAGTAACAAGTCGATTTTCTAATGAAACAATGGAAACTCTTCTTCGTGAACTGTTCATAGAACGATGAATTATTAATAATACAGATTTCAAACAGTTTTATAATACATGCGCACCAATATATTGTTCATACACAGTTGTACAACGTCGTGATATGATTGTTCTTGTGCTTCTTTTTATTTCTATATGCAGTGGATTAAAAAAAATTCTTCAGATATTTTTATTATTCATTGGTAGAATTATTTTCTTCTTAATTGATTATTGCAAAAGTCGAAACGATGTACAAAGTAAATCATTGAAAGAAAATACTTTAAAATCTCTTTTGTTTAATATTTTACAGACAGGTAAATATCATTGTATTCGAGAATATAGATTCATCTACGTATGTAATGCTTTAGGTATCATTTATACTCTGCCTGTTTTTTTCGAATGAAAATGATTTTCAGAATGTTAGATATGTTTTTATCAAAATCGTCAAACAATTATGCACATTAGCAAACAAAATCATTGAGAATAGCATCAGAATATTTCGTAATTCGAATATGTTCATGAAACAAATGATCTCTCGTAATGAGTTTCAGAATGAAAATCAATAAAACAATTTCAAGAAAAGATACCAATTGAATTTGCTCGTACATTAGATTTAATTCGTTTAACTTTGCAAGGAAACGCATTATTTGGTCGTATGCCATTTAATTGGAGAATATTTCCTAAAGAAAATATTTATGGAACAAATGTAAAGTTATATAACAAACCTGTTTCTTATGTCAATTCAGAAGAAAATACTAATTGTACATGTGCCATTCAACAAACTTGTACAACGCCAGCAATCATGTACAGTGGATTATTATCTATGCCGTTAAATGGTTTCAAATTAGGTTGTTATTCACTTGAAACAGTACTTTTATCATCATTATTATGTTTTTATTCCAAAACATGTATTGATAGTTATCACGATTTTACATCCTATGATTACTACAATAAGTCTCTGGACGTCATTTTCAATAGTACAAACGAAGTAATCCAACTAAATTCATCATTGACACGATTTAATATTAATGATACAATTGAAATAATGGCCAATGAATTGTTTCTTATGAACGATTCTACAATAGTTCTGCACCAAATTATTGTACTTATAAATATTACTATCGATTTGATGCATTTGAATTATTAATCGTATTCTTAAGTGCATATTCCAGTTTATCTATTATTATTCTATTCATTGTGCCATATTTAGTCTCAATAATCAAGAAAATCTTTCAACATTTTCGTATCGTCCCATCTCAATGATTAATTATATACTCAATACAATCTATTCATTAGCCAAGGTCTTATATGAAGATGAATGAAAATAGATAATAACATTAATCAACAATCGACAATAGTTAACCTTTGCACAGTTTTTGTGTATCCGATGAGACCCGTAACACAATTTTTCGCTTTTCCGAAACGAAGACTGATTCTTTTTGGGACCATCTTTTCGCTAATCGTCAGATTTCTTAATCGCGGTCATGTACATGTATATGAACTCCGACTACGGAAGACAATCTTTAAAAACGTCAAATCACGAACTGATTTTAGCTCTGCTCATAGTGACGATAGGAGTATGAGAATCTTGATAGTTAAAACCATCACGAATCAACACGTGCATTTTGAGCAACCAAATGCAAAACATTTGTTTCCTAGTAGAACACATCTACCTGAAATCAAATAAATATTTCATGCAATTTCCGTCATTACTATTAGTATCATTTTTCGCAGTCTGCATGAAATTATCTGTTCAATAAATTTTATGTTGTCTGAAGTTTAAAAACTCCTTTTCTCTTGTTTTTTTTTGTGATATTTCTCGTACGTTCTCGATGACCCGCAACACGTGTGCAAATTTTATATCTTCATCTTTAGGTGAAATTCTTACAGAAAATAATCGATCAATGGTTTGCAATCCTGATTGCCGTGAAGTTACCGTCTTCATAACTTACTTGCTTCATCAAAATTGGCTTATAACCTGCCGATCATGCAAACCTTCTTACCCACTCTATCTGAGATAAGAATTTCTCGAAGCGCGTCTATCGCACTTGTCGATCTGAACTCTCACTCAATCTACATACCACCCAACGATAAATTTTCGATCAATCTACTGATAATAAACAGATCTCCTATTTGAACACATATTTCGGTTCTTTCACTCAACTTTTCTGTAAATTCATTTCTATATAAGGATGTAGTTGCGCAAAAAGGACGATAAAATGATATACCATATTCTTCTTTGAAAGCAATGACAGCAAAACTTGTACAGCATCTAAATATTTGAAGAAAATTCGCTACATCCATGAGAGAACAAACAATGGTGATTGATATCTTCTGTCTCAGTAATGCGTCGCATATATATATATATATATATATATATATATAAAAGAAATCGATCAAAGTTTTCTTAACAGCCTGAATCAAAATGTCATATACTATTTTCGGTAATTATGTAGAGCGCAAATAAATTTTTGTCCTCAAGAGTTTTTTAATTTTTCCTGACAGTGGTAAGCCTGCCCCTTGTACTGAGTGTTAATGATATTACGAGATAACGAGAGAACAGAATCTCATTGTTTTCTTATTCAAAATTGATATTCAGTTGAAGTATATGTCTAATTTCGTAATAGGACAAATTTCATATAAATATGATACTGTTCGAATAATACGATATACTCTACTGATGTCACAGCTAACGAAACATGCTGTCTTTCTAGTTCGTTGATGATACATCAGCGCTTTCCTTCTATTAGTGAATATATTCCGAATAGAGTTTGCGAAAAACGAAAATGGGTTAAATAGAGAAATTACCAAGATAAAAATGCTGTTCGATAATGCATGAAAAAGACTCAAACGATATGTTCACATGTGCTGTTTCTACATTAACCTTTTACTACCATTTTGTACAGCTTCATCTGCTCTATCAGAATTCGTCCAAGAAAATTCTGTTGGATCATATTTCAGATATTTTGGATGCAAAATGTTCTTCACAACCATTTTGTCGTGGGTAGTTAATTGATATACTAACAATGAATCCAATTCCAAAGTATATATCCCGAATGTTTTTCATGCGAAAACATCAAGTCACTATGATCATTACGATCAATTCTATGATGAAAAGTGACGATTAACATGGGAACAATGCTTTTACTGCTAGGCGGAAAAGCAATTTGTGATTTACGTGAGTTTGGGTGGTTTATATTGATTTCTTAGTGATTCGAGAACGTTATTTATTTATTTATTTATTTATTTTAATCGAATACTATAATGGAGGAAATTAAAGAGAAGAAAAAACTAGTTTCTAATTTGCCGTATTATCATTGTTATCATCAGCTTTCTCATCGTATTCGACATAATCAACATCTTCATCTATTTCTTCCATATCAGCTTCATTTTCTTCATCATCACCTTCATTGCTTCGTGCACCTTCAAGTTCATTAGACTCATCATTTTCATCGCGTTGTGTATAATTTACTCCATCAACATTACACCATCCGGTGTGTCCCATGCTTTCAACATTCAATCTCTTCACTGTCCAAGCATAATTAGTTAATTTTGGATCAGCTATATAATCATAAGGTATATAACAATATCCTTGATCACCCTATTAAATACAAAGATCATTTTATCTGGTAAATTACACAGATTTTACCCAATTCTCGCCCCAGGAATTACGAACAATAAAAGCTTGCGATGAATTACTATACCCAACAATAAGAATAGCATGTCTAAAGACTAGCCGTTTAATTATCATCTCTGATAAATTTCTATACATACCTTCCATGTAATGCTTGACGATCTTCAAATGAACGAGGCATAGGAACAATACCTCTTTCTGCTGCTTTATCAAATGAACTAAAGACGTTAATACTTACTACAATTGGAAAACCTTGTGCTAAACATGTTTTGAATACATTTAAATCACGTCGGACTTGCAAAGCTTCAAGAATCGTATGTTCTTTGGCAGCTTCATAACATTCTGAATACGGTTTATCATTCACTTTCCAACGATCATATTCCCACATATCTTCTAAACAAACACCATCTTCAAACAAACTTTGGATAGCCATATCTATAGATGAACCACTATCACTTAACCAACCAAAACGTGATAAACCTCGAATTCGACTGTTATAATAAATGAAGAGCCGACTAACATCAATCTTTTGTCCTGTTGCTTTACTATGTAAATATTCATACGCTCCTGCGAGAGCATTCGCCGTGCTACAAATCAATTTAATTATATCAGATTAAACATAAATATTTTTGATAATTAACTTACCAGCTTTTTAGTGTCGATTGATCTTCAACTTTAGTCATCCATGGTCGAAGATCGACTTTTTTCGGAAGATCTGATTTTTCCAGAACCATATGTTCAGCAAAATCACGTGAAAGTTCTTCATTTTCTGGCATTGCATCGGACTCAACATCACCGTTCAATACATAACGGTGATTAGTTCGTTTGCTGATCAAATAAAGATTTTTTGTCGTTTGTTTTTTAGTTTCGTATGACATTGTCGACAGTATTCACAAAAATCGAATAGTTTATTTGAAAAGAAAAGTAAATGAATAAACACGCACAGCTTTGAATTGCTCTACATATATAGTATTCACAATCATATGCATGATTTCTGCTCATTCTGTTATAATGGAATTAAACATTATTCATCGTTGCTACTGCTGCTTAGCAAATATTCAATAATGAAGGAAAAATATTCAGGTCGACGATACATACGATGAATTTTAACGAGAAAATAGAACGTAAAGAGAAAGCAAAATCAACATTTTAAAGAGAAGAATGTAGGAGAAACAATTCAAGTGTAAGTTGTTTTTCTTAAAAATAAGTCAAATGATCAATAGAATAAAAAGAAAACGAGTTTCTTTTCGATTAACTTTTGAAAAGTGTACCAATCATTAAAAGAAACTAGCGATTTCCTGTGTAGACTGCACGGCGATTTCTCTCACAAATTTGAATTTTCGAGTCGCTGCCGAGAGACACATACCAACTTAGACTTTTGAATATTTTTAGTTTTCAGAATGGTTTCTCCCGTTTACTTTGATCTAGTTTTCTATAATAACTCTGTATATCATTATTTTTCATTGCTTTCGATCGATCATCTCAAGAAATTTTTTAAAAAGTTTAAAAAACTCTAGCTCCTGCCGTCGACAGGGTCATCGGCGTACATCTCTACCTACATTCGTTCCATTAAATGATTAGATCAAATTTATTTGTCTGTCTGTCTGCATATGTCAGAGTCAAAGATCAAAGGTAAAAAGCTATTCGTGTTTTTTAGTGAGTTGCTCAAATGATATAGTGCATGGATAGGTTAAGGTTTCAAAGTGCTAGATGATCATAGTTGTCGAATGGCGGGTATAACTGAGTGCTGTTTTTTTTTAGTCTGGAACTGTCATTAAGAGATAGTAGTTTTTATGGTCAACGATTGAAGAAAAGTTATCCGATTGCATGGCATATTGGTCACAGTTTTTTTGTTAGGTTTTGGATAAAAATCAAAACATGAAACTTGTTTTTCCATGTAAAATGAGTTCATATGACAAACGTTACTTGTTAAGTAAAGTAGCCTACTAAAAATTCGTCAATACGGATTGCATCACGATGTTTTCGAGGCTTGTCAGTGAATAGCTTTTCATATTGAATGAGAACATTTCTGAAATAACTGAGAATCGCTTGTTCGTTCAGGTATTTTTGTACTAAATTTTTGCCATTTGTGCCAATAATTTTTTCTCTTTGAATATCAAGCATTAAGTGTTGGGTTAAATAATGAAATGACGCCTCATTTCCTCTGTCTTTCCAAATTACAATATTGTAATTATGCTTTAATAAATGATACCAATATTCTTCCCATTCTCGAAAATGCGCAAAAACAACAGGAGATCCACAAAGTAGTAAGTATTTAAGTCTATTAGAATATGACCACCCTTCTTGATGTAGCAAATACTGATACTCGCAGAACTGCTGTATCATTTTTTCTTTGACCAATCTCTGTTAACCATTGGCGATCTCCAGTTCCAGCTCCTCACCACATTAACTTGTTCATCCGATTTTTCCATTTAATTTTATCGGCTATTTTGGGTAAATTTTCAAGAACAGAACGCCGACTACCAATACCGGGCGCCAAGGACATCCACAAAGTAAAGCAGGGAATAAGTACGATCCCATCCGGGTGGAGACCCCAAATTGGTGGTTTGCGCGTTTAAGCGAAACCAAAAACTGGTACCTTATGCTTCTTTTCATTTAGTTCCGATGAATTCAGCATAACAGCGTCCTCTAAGAAGGATGACAACAAGTGATGCATTTTACACTTATTTAGTTGGCTTTTGGTAAGGATTAATCTTATCTAGTGACTGAGAGAGATTTCTTCTATCTAAACTAACACTTCGAGATTAGATATTTTCAGCAAAGATCAAATTGAAGATGATCTTGCTACGCATTGCGATGAGAAATTTTACTTACGAACATGTATGAACATTTCTAAGTTTCTGATCGATTGGAAAGTGTCGACAACTTGTTTTAGCAGTGATTTCATTTTTCTTGATCTGAATTGAAAATTAACAGCAGTTCGACGATTTACAATAAATAACTGACCGTCTATTATCTGAATATGATGACATTCAGGACATGCAGCTTCCATTTTCATGATATCGCTGTGTGTAATATTTTCCTGAAAATTTTTAAAATCCATTTTAATTCTTGAATAGAGAGTAAGACCCTTGTTGCTATCATATGGCTCATTGAAAAGTTCACATACATCCATTGAATTGTTCAAATCTCGTAAAGAGATGTTTTTCAAAAATGGATTCTCACAGTCTAGTCGATAAAAGTCTTTCAAAAAGACTGATTCGTCATCATTATAACATTTGAAAGGACTTTTTAACTTCATAAGTACGTTAGACATGTTAAGTCTACTAACTAAGTCGTTTAATATCAGTTGATCGTCAAAAATCGAAATTTTCAACATTTTGAGAATAATCAAAACGATAAGAAGCAGAAGAAAGCAATATTTTCTGCACACTAAGAAACATTTCAAAATAAAATCTTGTGTGGTTCGTGAAGTCCATAGCATTATTTTACTAAAAGAAAAAAACAAATATTTGTTCGGCATTTTATTCATTCAATTGATTATCAGAGGATAGTGCTTATTAAGAGGTCAATGAAAAACAACGTAGAGTTTCTAAAACTAACAAGGGTAAAAAATCTCGTGTAAAAATATAGATTATACCGGTTTTTCTAAGAGAGCCACTCTTAAAGCTACAAAGAGTATAGTAGAGAAACTACCCGTTATTAATGGTCTCATTAAATTGTCGAGAATCAGTAGTTTCTGTACCGACTGATGTGATTTTTAATATTCATTCTGATGAAAATAAAATACTAAGCCACTAAAGATTCATATGAATCTTATGAAAGATTGTTATACTGTTTTCTACTACTTTTGTCTTTAAAATAATTTCTATGTGCATCTTCTATATAACTGTAACATAAGAAGTTTCTAAGTTAGATACTCCTGGGAGTAGATCAATGGTTCGTCAGTTTCTTGAATTTTTAAGGTAACTGAATGCAAGCAGCGCACACCAAAAGTAGAAAAAGTTAATTAGATCTTTGCAAAAAAGATTACTTTTGTGGTAGCTTTCAATGAATGAATAGCTTGTGAAAAATTTGATTGAATCAAGGACTTTCATTAGAATAAAAATACACCTCACATAAACTTATTCAAAGATGAAAGTTGTAAAAACTTACTGTTTTAAACTGTAATTAAAACAATCGATTTTATACGATTCACATATAAAGAAAAAGTATATTTAAATTCTCTACTCAAAATACTAAATCGCAGGAAATTTTACTTTATGATTATTAGTAGTATTGAAAGTATTGTTAAATATTTTTGTATTCGTAATTATTAAAGTTTAATAAAGTAAAATTTTTCATTATTTGGCACTTTTCTATAGCTTACTTAGTACGAAATGATAACATTGACTGGGAATTGTAAAACAAATACTTTTTAGTTACCTTTGTACGCGAGTGATGGAAGATATCAATATTTGCATTTGAAGTGATTGATAAACAAAAATATTTTCATAGAAAGACAATTTTTCCTAATTTTGTTTATATGCATGACATATATATGATAGAAAGGTAAATGTAATCATAATCATTGCATGGTATTTATTAGGTAAATGATCATTCAATTGAATGCTGAGTCATTTGTCGGAAAAGACTATTTTTATCATGAAAACGTATACGTAATCGATGGAAAGAGCGTATTCAAAATTAAGGAGATAATAAAGAAGAAAATCTACTCTTATCTTTGTTTTGTTTTGTTTTGACTCGATTTTCATCGATTGAAGTATATATTTCATTATCCATTGACATTTCAACAGAAACAACCTAAATAATTACTGATAAAAAAGACAACTATCGATAAAGCAATCTTTAATACTCTTGTTGGATAATGCAAGGATGCGCAGCTACAGATACAAGTTGTACTCTGAATTTTACGATGAAAATTTCTTATCGTACAATACTGTATTCAACAACTCTATACTCTCATGTACTGACCCTGCTTCGGATCTATAGCAGATAGAATCGATCGCTGCTCAGTTAAATCCACTTTCTTCACATACTATCGGATAAGAAGGGAAAACGATTTTTGATTTGTTGATTAAAAATTAGTTTTGGGTCCCAAAACTCTTAGAATTTAAAACTGACTTCAAAACAACTATCATAACTCATGTTCTTCTTATGTACTCTGAATTGTCTATTTTGAATGCTATAATACAGATTATATTTAAGCTCGAACGAAGCAAGGTATATTAAATTATACACAACATTGTTTAAATGGTTGATACTGACACTGATGAAAACAAAACAGTTCGACTGAGAAATAATTACACCATCTAGTTTTAAGAAGGCTTTTCATTACAGATTGATCACTCAAAAAATGAGTATCGTCGATATTTAGGCGATCAACCCATTAGCAACCAAGCGGTTGATATTCATATGGTATTAATTTTAAACATAAAAATCTTTTAGTTTTAATAATTTCATATCAACAGGAATCTATCGTCAAATATTGATGAATATTGCCAAAGCGAATTTCTACGACTTCACAATCGTCTCTATGTAAATATCAAACATCTCAGTTATTTTCATGTAGAAGGTTAAGTTTCAATGAGATTAAGATCAATCTTTCTAATTCAAGAAGTGATCAGATTGATTTATTTGACGACAATGAATCCAATTCCAAAGTATATTCCAAATGTTTTTCATGCGAAAACATCAAGTCACTATGATCATTACGACATTAATAACTGTAAATAATGTGCGATATATTGTAGTAATGACAATTGCTGTTTCAACAAGTATAAGAATTACTATATAAACGATGGTAAGTTAGTCATAGACATAATTGTAACACTAGTTATGATGTCACTTAAAACTTGACGATTACGATCAATTCTATGATGAAAAGTGACGATTAACATGGGAACAATGCTTTTACTGCGTTGTTGACGTAGATACAGCATCATATAAAGATAAATCAGACCAATAATGGTAAAGCGTAGAAGACAACCGGTGAATATTCTATAATAGCAGTAAATAGTGAAGCTATGTCTAAATTTCATGCGTATAAACTTGGTTCATATTTGAACCCGTGACTGAAAAGACACGGAATTGGAACGAATGTGTAACTGATCACCCACAAGGAACATAAGATAATAATATAAGTTTGACATAAAACAATGAAGAAGAGTTGACTCATGATTTGTAACATGAGAGAATAGGAGATACTTGCTACACCCTCACCCACGATACGAATGTGCCCATCCGACATCGACAGCACGTACACTCGAGCGAAATAACAGCAGAAAAAGTGGTGCCGGAATTGTAATCATGATAAAGAGAATAACTTCCCTCTCGCTTTTTCGTATGTTTATATACGATATTTTTATCTTCATGCAATATTTCGAAGAAAAATAAAAGATAGACGCCCAAGGCATCAATGCGACAAAATCCGATCGGATTTCTGGTCACGAATTTGAATTGAATTCTGAGTAAAGGATTGGTGCACCTGGGAAGATAAAAAGACTGCCGGATATCTCATAATAAGCAAAAAACATCGCTTTTATCTTTTTCTTTTACTATTGGTGTTTACCCTTTCCAGTGAATGTCACAGAATTTTTGTTTTTGAACCAAAATCAAAAAGCGCCACAAATGATTAGTGTCATATACCCTGCGGATCGAGGATGTGGAACATCGAGCGACATCTGTATTAGTTCTTTTTACTAAGTATGGTTATCCTCTAAATGGTTTGAATTCACGCATTTGAGTAGCAATATTAAGACAAATTTGAAGAAGTTCAGTACCCGCCGAAGTTTGATCCTGGCGAGCAATTTCAATTGCACGCTCCAAATATTAAAAGGCTTTCTCAATTTCATGAAGACTATATTGTACTCTAGCCATTACGGCAAAAGTTCGTGCAATGGAGAGTCGATTAGATACTAGATTGCTTTTTTGAATTCGAAGGGCTTTTTCAAGGGCACCCAGTGCACTCCAGGGATCCCTTTTCAAATAATACGCACTGGCGATTTTTTGATACACTGCAGCAAGATCAGGATTGTTAAGCGCACCATTTGTTTCAAGAATCGAACACGCTTTTTCATAGTACAGCAACGCTGTCGAATAATCACCATTCATGAATTCGTAAACACCACCCATGTTGGCATAAGTTACCGCAATACTCGGATGATTAGGTTCAGTGGATTTCTCAGCAATACAAATCGACTTATCAAACTCGACAAGTGCCGCTTGATAATTCTCTGCTGCATGATAGACAGTGCCAAGATTATTATGAGTAACCGCTAACGATGGATGTTCGGGTGGCAACGAACGTTGCTCAATAGCAAGTGTTCTGTTATAAAATGAAAGTGCATGTAAATGATCACCTTTCGCCATATACACTGCGCCAATATTATTATAGATGATAGCGAATGATGGATCATTCGGCGGAAGACTTTTTTCAGGATATTTAGTGCTTTTCGAAAGAATCCAAGTGCAGTAGAATAGTCTCCCATGGAACGAAACACTTAACCAATATTACTATAGAGAGTGAAATACTCCCATGAATAAATACGATTAAATGATTGTTCGAAATGATCCAACGTCTTTTGATAATATGCCAATGCTTTGAGATTATTTCCTTGTTCTCGATGTATTTCTCCAATATCATTGTAGGTAATGCCAAAAGATTTATAATCGACTGGAAAAATCCGATGTAAATAGTTCAATGCTGCGTTATAGAATGATAGTGCTATGTTATAATTTCCTTTTCGCCTAAACACAGCTCCGAGTTGATGATCAATATCAGCAATAAATCTCCAATCATTTATTGGTATCGTATTTAAAAGTTCAAAGAGTACACTAGTGGCTTCAATGAATTTACCCATTTTGTTCAATAAATAGCTCAATCGATACGCTGCTGGTCCCCCACCAATTTCTGCACGTATCTGTTTGCTAAGACACACCAATTCTGCATCATGATCACTGGTTAATTTGAGTTTTACATGCCAAAATCGATCTCTAATTTTCTTGATTTCATCAATACGAAGGATTGTATGCATAGAAAAGAGAATTTCTTGTTCCGAACCAAAAAATGAATCTTCGCCTTCTAATTCCGCGAATGGTACAGATGAAATTGAACTATCAATATCCATTTGAAACAGAATGCCCAATCGTGCCGGATCTTCACAGACTGACTCAGCAAACACTTGTGACACGTCACGATCGAGACTTGTTGAAAGAAACGCATTGAACGAGAGAAGGCCGCCTGGATTCTTCCGAATATTCTTCTCGAATTCATCTTCAAATATGCCTTGTCCTCGATAAACTGTCATCTGACTTGAAGTTTTCTTCCGATGAAGATCTTCAATTCGTTGATGAACATCGCGTAAAAAGAAACCCATTTTGATCAATGTTTTTGTATCTTGCTCTCCTAATGCTTTGTTTAACATGACATAAGTAAAACAATCTCGAGTATACCACCAAATCGGCGAATGTTCATCGTAATCTCGTTCGAATTCAGTGATAACGGACGAAACATTTTGTGTCCCACCACAACTTTGAACGTCATGACAATACTTTGCAATTTCAGTCTTAGCCGAAGTATTGTATTGAATTTCAAGAAGAATTTCTTTGAGCATTTGAGAATACATGAAGGATGAGTCAAGACGATTTAAATTATTACTTAAAATATCTTCTGAAGAGATACCGGTAATTGATAAATCAGTATCGTTCCGTTGGTGAATATTTCGTTTGATTACACTACAAATTGATTCAATATTCTCGAAAGTCCCTTTGAATTTTGTTGATACTAAAGTACACGGATGATGATGATGATGTACGTTTTCACTTTTCAACAAATATATCGAATCAACTTGAGCCAATTCATCAATCAGTGATACTAATTCATTTTCGAAAGTCCAATCGATTATCACGATGACTTTGTTTGTTTGAATATCTGTCAAATAGTCAATACATCGGTGAACCTCCGTGAATATTTTACTTGTATTGATCATACGTTGAAGATGTACGATCGAATCAGTGTCATTACTGTTTGCAGCCAACCAAATAACAGTAGAGTTTCGAATTGCTGTTGAGGATGAGGAATTCATTCTTTCTCACTACGAATTCTTTTACGTATATCGTGGACTCTTTTTGTTTTCGTTTTTATGTTCTTTCTTTAACCTCGAGCAAAAACCAGAATAGAACACGACGAAATGCGACAGATTAAAACAGAGAGAAAGAGAGTATTTATCATCGAATACAGCTCTTGAGTTGTGAAACTTATCATGCTGTAGCAAAGTGCATTAGTCACCTTTTCGTGTTGATTATCTACGCCAACCGAAAACAAAAACAAATTGTAGGTTTTTATACCCCTAATAAACAAGTGAAGACAGAATGAGAAAAAAAATTGTAGAGCTAGTTGAAAAGTCCGATTTTCTTCTTTTTGAGAATAAGAAGTGATTACATCCTCAGTCTAATCTTCAAGAAAAAGTTCAAATAGTTCTTGCATCAGTCTATCGGTTGCTTCAAGTTTGCTCAAGTCAATACGATTCGTATCCCAAGTACAACGTGGTAGATCTTTGATCGCGTTGCAATCTTCCAAATTATCGTGAACTTCTCGAAGAATCGTTAGATATTTGTACATTTGAATATAATGAATCAAAATTTCAGTGAGTTTTTCACAAAGAATCGATCGATAATTTTCTGACTGAGTTGATGTCCATGTTTCGCGAAAATGTAGAAGACAGCCGAGACTGTCACGAAGTTTTGAAAGCACTTTAGCAGGAGGATTGTCCGGTTTGACTACATCAATATCTGTAAGATTCGGCGAAAACCAAGTTTTTTCATCAACATCCTCATCCTCACTGTTATTCAGTGTAGATGGATCTTGTGCCAAGCCGGTAACAACGGGTTTTTGAAGGCTTTTATGGGAATGTAGTTCAAACAAATTATAAATTTTACTAAATGTAACAGGATTCAATTCTGATTCTTCGTGTATCATACGCGTCAAACTCGCACAATCTAGAGACGGTAATTTGAGATCTCGCCAGAATGACTTTTCAATGAGGAAACTAAGATGATCGATTAACCAGGTTACGTCAGTTTGTTCTATTGTAACCAAGGTTCTACTAGAAATGTTCGACAAGGGAAAAGGTTCGGACGACATTCGTTGCAAATCTTCGAAAAGATCTCTTGTGATGCATAAAAACGGATACTCGTCATCAATACCATTAACGATATCTTCCCACTTCACATCGGTCAGATTTTCCTGCTCATCGAGATACAGAATTTGTAATTTTGAAGGAGATCTGGCTTTTAGATTCGACAGCATGATTACTTTCCAAAGCATCGTACATGCTGCTTCTTTCTTCAACAGGTTCGACATCGCCAACGGTACTATTTCATTCTGATACCATTCCAAGATGTTCTCTACACGCAGACGAGGTATCATTCGATCGAATGGAGTTTCTGAAAGAATGTCTTCTGTATCGGTTTGCTGTGGATGTGTTGTGTAATGGAACAGAAAACTTAGTTTCAATTCGCAGATTTCATCGTACAATGTATCGGGACTTTTTCGGTCGGTTTTATTAACATCTGGTAGAATCTTTCGAATTTCTTCTTGCAAAATATCATAAATTCGACCGAGAGGCGATTCCGAATGTTTGCATTCGCTTTTTCTCTTTGATGGATCGTAATGAGGATATTTGGGTAAAGGAAGTAGAGAGAGATCTTCCAATAAAGGCTTTTTGTAAGTGAACACGTTTGACTTAGCTGCGTCAACAACTACAGAAATAACTTGGCACAATTGTTCCATCAATTTCCAATTTTCATCTGAAGTCCATTCGCTTTTAAAGTTGTCTACCATTCTCATATGAATGTCAAAAATATCTTGCAGTGAAAGTAAAGCTGGATGTTCAGTGATATTTATTGCGTTTATTGCCGCATTGTTACGGATGTGTGCAATGTCAATATCAAGTTCTTCTGCTTTTTCCATTTCGTTTGCGTTTGAAGTTTCATGTAATTTTTTGTATTTTTCTCTTTGATATATTCTTTCTTCTATAACATCATTATCGCATTCCTCGTTTTGTCCATGATATTTTAATAATTTCATTTCTTCAGATGTAAGTGTAGAAACTGGACTTGTACTTTCATCGTATACATTGTCAGCGGATTGTTTTTCGTGCCTTTTTGCATATGCAAATCTCTCTGCGTCTGCAGCAGCTTGCAATTTCTCGATCCTTTCCCTGTCAACCGGATTAACTTCGAAAGCGTCAAATAGAGGATTTCTAAGTTTGCCAACGATGTTTTCATCCCAACAAACAAAGTATTGATCACCATCGAGATCACTTCCACATATTTTATCTGGTTCCGACCGTCCATCTCCGCAGCAACTGAAAACAATGACATCCTTTAGTCCAATAAGGTACTTACCATTTTTTCTTTTGTTGAGATCTTCCTTTGTAATACTCGTGAATGTGCGCAAATCACCGCGATGAAAACACGGTTCCTTCGTGACCAACACCGTTGGCCCTAAGAATTCTGATCTAGTAGAAGCGTCTCCTTCAAGATTCGAAACTTGTACGAAAACTTCTCCCGGCTCTAATACGCCCCAGAAATCGGCGACACCAAACAAACGACGCGATTTCTTCACAAGAATCTTGAAACGGCGCACGTAATTCTGATAGTATCCAGCCAGAAATGTCTCAAGTAACGAACAGCCCGTCCCTAGCATATTGAATGACTTCAGATCGTTGTGTTTTATTGCAAACTCAATCGCATCGCTTCTATTTTGTACGTTTAACCATTTTTTCAAATCATCCACTGCTAAGCTAATGATATATTCTTCAATGCCTATGGGATCTTTGGCACAGGCGACAATCAAAGAAATAAGTGCTAGATTAAGACGTGCCCCTAACATTGGCTGTGAACATTGTACCATCTCTATACTTTTGTAACTCCAACGATCGTGTATTTCTGGTGAAGTGAATTTGCTCTGGCTGAAGGAGGGTTCAATACATCTTTGCGTGCCGAGACGTTCATCGACGACTAGCATGCCTTTATATCCATCCAGACGGACTTGAAATGCCGAATAGTATTCCGGTTGTTCTACATTCTCGTCATAATCAATCTCACTATCCTGGAATGTACTTGAATTCCATGTCGTGGGACCAACATTTTGCGCGGTAAATGGGGTATTTTTGTATTTTCGTCCTTCTTTCCATCTTGCGCTCATTTCTCTTGCTACAGGAATACTTACACGACCGCAACCATCGGTATGCTTTCCTATATCATCTTTTTCGTTCACTTCGACATTTTCCAGGCTCAGACTAATCGATGGAGTAAACCACAAACCCATTCGAAGAGCCAGCTTTAGTTCATATTCCTTGTGTTTACGAACAGTTTTGTCTGTGAACATCTTCTTTAGCACGTTGTCATAAGACAGGACAGAGTAGATATGCATGCTTTTGTGCACTCCGCTGCTCGTTGTTGTTAAATATTCAAAAGTCTTGCCAGCTATTTTCAAATTGCTCACATCTATACTGTAAGAATCGATAATGTCGTCATTAACAAGTGCAACGGATCTCTCATGGAAAAGAGCTTGTTCTTCGATAGAGTCAAAATCCAAAGTAGACCAGTCCGCTAATGTATATCCGGCTCTTTTGTTCAGCCAATTAGCTGTTATTTGCATTTGTTCACTCTCAAGTTTTCCAGCAATCTCCGACGACTGATTAGTTGAGTCGCGAAGATCACTCATAATACGAAGTAGTATCGAAACGTTATGAGCAACCGAATTGACTTTCAAATCGTAATTGGTGTTGTCAAGCATTTCCCAAGCAAATGCTAGACGGCACGCAGTGTCTAAATTTGTTGGTGTCCGAACTACTTTAACTCTTAAAAATGATTCTTCTCCATATAGGCGCGTTAAACATGAGGTGCCGAATTCTTTATCCACGGCATGTGCGCGCAACCGACAATATATCGTGCTATGCCGATCAATCATCATTGTTGCGGACAACCTGTATGAACTGTCACTATTTGACGAATTTTCCACATCACCGCCGCTCAGATCTTCATGCAAACCGTACAACAGGTCCAAACGCACAGGACAAATCTTTGTTATTTTAGCCAGTATCTTAAAGCGTTCCAAGAATGATCCATCTTTATAAGCCCGCTGCTCGTTTTCATTCAGAATTGTTTTATAATCTTGAATTGCTTTCGCATTATTTGAGGTGACGAAGTTCGATATACAGTGCACATTATCAGAAGTATGCTCGAACCCCGAGAAGAGCGACCACAGTAAGTGCTTGAACTGCAAATGACACTCTGTATAAGCTTGAGATCCGTGTTTAAGTGAACGAATAAAAGCATTCGATTGTTTCAACCAAGGTAAAAAAGTACTGAATTGTTCAAAATCTGTTCCAACGAGAGACCAACCAACGATATCCGAACCTGTGTTCACCTTAACAAATTCTTTTGTCTCATTCAGTTCAGCTACAGTTTGATTAAGTTCATCCCGATCTTTTTCTTTTCGGCATTTCTCTGAAACCTTCTTCATGATGTTTATTATTGTTTCCTTTTTAGTCTCTACTGTCATCGATGGTTTACATTCAGTAGAAATCTGTTCTGCCATAACTATTGACGATTGAAAATATGTGCTTTTAGTCTTCTTTACTGGAGTGCGGAATATATGCGTATCTGAAAGTAGTTTATTATGTTTATAAACATCTAAGATTTCAAACGCAGACATAGAGGAATGATTTCAGGCATAATCTTCTGTTTACAAAACCAAAACATCGACTCCCAGATAGTTTCTGTCGATAAAAAACTTTCTTTTTTAGTACATTACCCACAGCGTCAGTTCACTGTTAAAAATCTTGCCTATAGTATTTAAAAAAGCCGCATTTGTATGCCAACGGTATTTTGAAGGTATTTTTCTTCGTTTTTATGTATCTCAGAGTGAGATAAGAACATGTTTTTATCAAAATCTCACAGTCAATCTGTATTCTTTCTGACGTAGTCAAAATGTGGTATGTTCTTTTCTTTCTCCCAGCCTTGAAAGTGTGGGTTCGAGTGATTCACAAGAGAAAATTCTGCGTTAGAATAATAACCATAAAAGTCGATTTAACCAATGAAATAAAAATAAAATAAAACTACCGATACTCAATTTTTCCGGTTTCTCTCTTTCAAACGTTTATTCATTCATCGAACTAATCGTAAACGTAACCATTACAACATTATGATACAACTATAAATAATCAAATAAACTTTTACTGTAAGAATTTTTGTATTCCACTGTTACCATGATATACGACATATATATTTAATTGAGAGTCAAAAACAATGGAAGATAGGCTGATTAAATAGAGTAGAGGAACTGCCAGCTACGCCTGTCGTACCGAGTATTGTTGTTCCATTCGCTTGATTAGCGTAAAAAATTGAATACGATTGTTGCCTGTATCAGCCACATAAATATTCTTCATAGAATCGCATGTAACATCAAAAGGATTTTGAAGTAATGTAGATGTGCTGCCCGAGACACCAACAGTACCGACAACAAGTGTCCAACTACTGGCACCCAACACCCAACGAACAATACTGTGAGCACCATAATTGACGATAAGAAGGCTATTTGATAATAAATCCAAATAGATTCCCAATGGATGATCTTTGTCCATTGTTGCCAGCAACGACTGTGCCAACGGTGGAATTCGATAGGTAACTCATGACGCGATGATTGTTTTGATCTGTGACATAGAATATACTGGAATTCCAATCATGTACAATACCATATGGAGTATCTAGTTGACTGTTTGATGTGCCAGCAACGCCTATGAAGACATCATCATGTGAAAAAGAGCCTTTTGTTTCACTCATATCTCACCGTTTACTGGTAACAATCATGCCAGAGGATGAACCTATAGTCCAATATAGAACTCGATGATTATGTGAATCTACGATGTACACGTTGCCACTGGAATCAAGTTCAACATCAGCAGGGAAATTCAGATCATTCAGTATCGAACCTCCTATTCCATTGGATTGACCAGCGATTGTTGAACCAGTTAATGATCCCGCTAGGTATTTTTGAATTCGATTATTATTTCGATTGGAAATGCAAAGATTATTTGCTAAGTCAAGTGCCATACTATACGGAGTAGCGAGTAGACTAGAATTTGTTCCCATGATCACTGTACTCCCCGCTACAGTATTACCTGTCGAATTCCAATTAGATAAGAAGACAGTCGCTGTAAAAAAGAGGAACCAATATACAAATACCGACATGACATGACAGATAAGATTTACTTGTAGCAGCAGCAGTAGTAGCCGTAGGAAAAGTGTTTCAAATCGTTGCAGTTTTAATAGAAACCAGCATATACACAGCAATTCCTATTGTACCGAAGGCCAGCAAGCCAAGAGGCACTTCTTCTTACTATCAACAAACAGCTTTTTCTGATTTCTAAAAACTAAATTCAAAGGTCTTTCGATGGGTATCTACGAAACACAATATATATATTACTTCCGAGGTCTCCTCGACGTAATCTGAGCGAGATCAGCAGGGAACGATAAATCAATCGATCTTCAACAATTTTTTACAAATTCGGTTGACACAGACGAGTCATAACTAAGGGAATCTGTTGGAACAGGTATTACTCTTGAGTTAGATCCAGAAGTCCACTGTCGTACCTTTGATTTTGGAATAGTAGAAACACGAATAGATCGGTGTATATTCATGTTTTAATGTATCTTCTTCTTATTTCATCATCACATATAAATATTAGCTACCAATAGAATGTTGATCAAAGAAACCTCTTCAGTAATCAATACTCTCAAGCATTTTAATTAGTTTTACATTATTCTTTTTGTACTTCTGTGTGAATATTCCATGTTGGATTTCATTGAAACAGTGGCGTGAGCTGTCAACAGCGACACAAATATGGCCTAACAGCAACTGCTATTGAAGAAGATTATTTATTTGTTAAGAGATTTCTACTTTCTCTGACTAGAATAGAATATAGGAATGCTTGGATGATCTTAGAAGACTTACTGTGATCAATAAGTGAGAACATTGTTCTCTTGTTTTATCATTAAATTAGTTTTTTCTTTCATTTGTTATTCTCTATCAAAATGCATCGACAACCCGTACAAATGATGCAAAATTTCACTACGACCCCGCTGAAAATTACTCTTCGAGTGAGGGTGAGAACTATTTTCAAAGAAGGGTTTATACAACGGTTAAATACTTCTTATATCTTCGATCGAATACACTTTTTCAAGTACACATAATTTTCAGATAGAATCCGAAGTTTCCGTATTTATTCGTTCTGCAAGAGATACAGAAAAAAACACGCGCGCTGTATTGTTTATTCAGAGAAAGGTAAAATTTAATGTTTGCCTCTCATCGAGAATGACTCATTCAAATTTTTTCTTTTCAAGTGAGAGTGTTGAAGTATACAGAGTAAAACGTGGGTAGTTTGGACAACATTCCGTTGCTGAAATCAAGTAGTGTAATAGTCAACTGCAGGATACAATAGAATTGTTCAACAGATGAAAAATTGAAAACTCGAATCGAGTTAACGATTTCTATACTACTTTATAGTACATAGAAGTAAGCAAAGTCGAAAGATTCTTTCGTTTCTGTTTCAACCATCTCATTAAAATAAAAAGACTAATTATTAAAATGAATATTTTTAAATAAAATTTAATCGTTGGAATTTTCCATACCGACAGGCCAAAAATTCCATCAGAGACGTTACAGACAGGCCTAAAAACCAGTCAAATACCGTTGTAAACAAGCGCAAAAGCTCTGTCACAAACTGTTACCTACTGGCCTTGACTGTTACTCACTGTTTTCTGTAAAAGGTGTACCTAAAAAATGAAGAGAGAGAGAGAGAGAGAGAGAGAGAGAGACATGTTGTTATGTGAAAAGGCAAATAAACTCTATATCATTGTCTGACAGACAGGGTGACTCTCAACTTCGTTACGTCGACCCACGTAGATCTCACCGTCTGCATAAATCGGGATCGGTTAATGGAAGCGCAATAAGAAGCATCACGTATTGTGACCGATGAAACGAAGATCTTTTAACAAGCAGCGGACATCACTATTGAGAATGATATGTTATTTTCAACAGTTTAAGTTTAAATAAATAGGAATGTACAATGGGATGTAAATTGACCATTCTATGGGTTGAAAGTTTCTCCAGTTGGATCGTGTTTCACACTTTTAATCCCGTTAGGGATTGCGCTGAAAGCTTTTTTCATGAAATGGCGAAAAACAATCGATTTGCTTTGTACTATTGATTCATTCTCGGTTAAGGTGCTCGCAGAGATCACTTTTTGAGAAAAGTGCATCTTTTCACGAAAAATGCAAAACTTTTTATTTTGTCAGACGTTTTTGATTTTTAAACTGTTTTTTCCTGATTCCGCATCATAAACGTAGTGGAAGTTAGCAGCGGATTCGAGTATTTCCTGCTGATATTCGCTCAACGACTTGTGATGGATCTCTAAGCGGTTGTGATGAATAGATCTCCTGATTCTGCATCGAATGGTGTAACTTGAGTCGGGGTCTATCAACCCTACCTAGTCGTTTCACCAGTAAATACTAGTAAACTAGTGGTTTTTACCACTAATGCCTGCTGACATTCGCTCAGNGGTGAAGTCAGCGGAAACGATGAACCTTCCTAGTTCTCAACTGTGTTAAGTAAAACTTGCTTCACACAATAAATTTCCTATTAATTTTTGATATGTATATTATAAGTAAAGACACTATATTGCATCACATTTTAGATAAAATCAAATATAACATATACTCACAATAAATTCTAGATTATGCGAAAGAGCGACCAGGGCTCATTGCGAAGAAAAAAAATTTCACACAAATATAATATCTCCATTGTAACATTTAAGATCGATTGCCTATTGTTGAGATCGGAATATTTCTATAACATCAATTCATACTTCAGGAACAAAGATCACCCCAAACCCAACCGAAAAAATCAAAGCATTCCGTTTGTTATTTCTGGCAAAAAAAAATAATTTTTAGTTTTAAACTGCGGAAATTTTTAAATTCAATTCTCAGAAAATTTGCGAGATAAGATTTTCGTTTCAATGCATACTTACTTTCATGTTCTTTCTTCAACAGAAGAAAATCACCAATGAGAAAAATTATAGAATCTCACTATCACTTCAGAACAATGGTTGATTGTCTGAAAACAGACCACACAAAGGCATATATAGTTTTCTGCTCGAATTACATAGAATAATTCAGAGAAAAGAATATTCTACCACTAATTACAGTTTTAGCCAATTTGCACCATAAAATTTTTGAAAAATATGATATTTTCATTGCTTTATTTCTATTGGTTCACAAGAATGAACCAATAAGTGAGAGGGAAGAGATGTATGCAGCGGATTTATTGCTGATTAGCATTGTTCTTGATGCCAACAAATTGGAAATTGATGAATTCGATGTGATATCAATAGCGGTAATCAAGATCTACTTGAAACCAGTCATTGTTTCATTGGAAAGCACTTTTAGGCAAAACTAGGCGCCAAAACCTAGGTTTTTCACGGATTAGGGTCGGTTTTTGACATATTTCGGACTGAAAGAAGAGTCTGGCAGAAAAGTGTCGTTAGGGAAAGTTATGGAGCTCGTCGAGTTTCATCAGTCCCAGGAATTTCAGACCCATCACAAGTGGCTGAGCGAATGTCAGCCGGATACACTGGTAAAAACTACTAGTTTACTAGTATTTACTGGTGAAACGACAAGGTAGGGTGGATGGACCCCACTCAAGGTACACCATTCGATGCGGAATGAAGAGATCTATCCATCACAACAGCTTAGAGACCCATCACAAGTTCCTGAGCGAATGTCAGCAGGCATTAGTGGTAAAAACCACTAGTTTACTAGTATTTACTGGTGAAACCACTAGGTAGGGTTGATAGACCCCGACTCAAGTTACACCATTCGATGCAGAATCAGGAGATCTATCCATCACAGAAGTTTCAGACCCATCACAAGTCGCTGAGCGAATGTCAGCAGGCATTACTGGTAAAAACCACTAGTTTACTAGTATTTACTGATATAATTCCACTTATGATCGATGATATCCCACTTATCCTATGCCATTCGATGCGGAATGATGAGATCTATCCATCACAGAAGTTTCAGATCCATCACAAGTCGCTGAGCGAATGTCAGCAGGCATTAGTGGTAAAAACCACTAGTTTACTAGTATTTACTGGTGAAACCACTAGGTAGGGTTGATAGACCCCGACTCAAGTTACACCATTCGATGCAGAATGACGAGATCTATTCATCACAACCGCTTAGAGATCCATCACAAGTCGTTGAGCGAATATCAGCAGGAAATACTCGAATCCGCTGCTAACTTCCACTACGTCATCATAAACTGTATCCAAAACCGTTCTCAAATCGATTCTAACTTCAAAACTAAGTTAATGCTGGCGCTTTAAATCCCGCTGATTTGACCACTTAGCGGTCGATTTTGTAAACCTATCTACTTTTTTGTGTAAATGGTAGAGCCTATTATTTTATCTCATTCTACTCGTCATACACTGAAAAAAAAGGTAGTCCACCAAGCCATTCCGGTTTAGCGATGGCCCACCAAACTATGTTAAGTTGGCACCACCAAAATGGTTCCGTAGCGTAAATAAAGAACCTTTTTAGGTTTCAGGACCAAAAAGGTTTTGTGTTGTTATTGCCAAAGCATTGAAAGGTTCAGCAGCGTGTATACTGAACTTTTTTGGTTTCGTATGTCTAGTACAAAACCTGCCATAGTTGCGTAGAGCTCATAAAGGTTTCGAAACAGACTTACGAAACCATGTAGGGTTTCGTATTAGATATACCGAGCCTTTACGTACATCACTAGGCTGACTGAGGTTTCGCATTTCGGATGCCGAACCTTCCTGAGTTCCGTATCACACCTTACGAACCATTTCTCCCTTTACGAAGCCATCAGAGGTTCCGTACCAGACGTCCGCAGCCATTCATCCCTCTCCGAAACCATGAAGGGTTCCGTGCTACACTTCCCGAACCACTTCTCATTTTACGGAACAACGAGGGCACCGATACTGGACCTCTCGAACCATTCCTCATATCATGAAACCAGCAAGGGTTCCGTGCTAGAGCTCCTGAACTTTCCTCCCTTTCCCAAACCATGGGAGGTTCCGTGCCAGACCAACCGAACCATTCCTCATTTTCCGAAACCATGAAGGGTTCCGCGCTACACTTCCCGAACCATTTCTCATATTAGTGAACCATCACGGTTCCATCGTGCACCTCCGGAACCATTCATCCCTTTACGAAACCATCAGAGGTTCCGTACCGGACCTCCAGAACCCTTAATTCCTAAACGTAGGCCTGAGGGGTTTTGCCGGGTACCTCCCGAACCCCGGAAAAACTGTAAAAATTTTTCACAACGGAGGTGAATTTGTTTTCTACGCTTGTAATTTTCTTTTCTGCAACTGTACGAAGGTNTTTATATGACCCTCCTTTCAGTCGAGGGAAAAACTAATCTCGGATTCGAGATCTTCGACCCCGATTACCCTTCGGTCAACCCTTACCCTGCATATTAATAATTTATGTGTAGCTGACAGCTAGTTAATTAATAGGTAATAATTAGTTACATCTAACCTCAGATTCAAGTTCCCCGACCTCGATTACCCTACCGGTAATCATTTTCTAACAACGATCGATCAATTTCTGATTGGATAGGACAGACAGACAAACTTTAAGCTTTTTAGCACAGCATTTAAACGCTGTATAACCCTTTCTTTCACAAAAAGGGAATAAAAACTTTCGTTTGTTCAGTGTTTTTTTTGTCTGACGTCAGCGAATAGTATTAGTCTGCTCTTATCTTAAACATTCAAGTATATAATAACAGCTTCGCATATTTTTCTAAGCAAACAATTCGTTAAAACTCATCAACGTTGTGGGCTAATTTTATCGCAATAGAAAACATCGAAGATACAAAGCGACGATCTCTTCTATGAACGTCGAAGGAAGTCTGCAGCTTGTCGATCGACTTTACCTTCGGATTGTGTTTGATTTGCTGAAGGTTCCCCAAAGAGTAGCATGAAGATTATCGTTGTAACCTTTGCTCAGATGTATTCTAATTCAAAGAACACTATTTCCACAAAATTGAGAGTTTCTTGCTCCACGACACATGGAAAATCAACCATTTGGAGTCAAGGGTACCGAGAAATATTCCAACAATAGCAATCAACGAAATAGTTTCACTAAAAACATTTCGATCATATCAGTGTTCAGATTTAAATATGTACTTTGTTGCTTTTTACGTAATACGTAATAAAACAACAGAAAATATTAAATGAGTCAATCTATTTAACTGCTGTGCCTTGTCATAACGTAAGCAGCATTTTTTTTTAAATCAAAAACAAATTAACGCCGATACGTCGATTTGCCGTTTCATTCTCTGTAAAACCTTCTGTTCTCATTCTCATAAGCAAAATGTGAGAGTCATAAATACTTGGCTGTTCGTTTTCGTCAACACTATTCAAAAATGAAGTGTAATGTTTTCTTGACTCTGATCTTTATCTTATCATTATTCGTGGTCCATGCTGATCCAATAAATCAAAATCCTGTTCATACTTGTCAATGTGAATGTTTAAACTGGTCAGAATATAGTACACCATCCGAACCACTGCCTGATTGTAGTATGTGTAATGTAGCAGCATGTCGAAAAATGGGTGGAAGTTGTGCGCATGGAGCTATTATCAAAATTAGCTGTAATTAGCTAAATCTGCTGGAAATCAAAATACGATTTGTTTTCAAAATTGTATTTTTCACAACTTTTTAAAATCTAATTAAATTTTTTGATTAATTAACAGAAAAATAAATTTCCATTAACACATTCCACCAGTGGCGAAACTAGGATTTTATGGGGTACTGAATCTGCGTTCTAGAACATCAATTCCAGTTGAAACCCACAGCGAGTGACATTAGTCACAAATACTTCGTTTATTTTAAGCGTTTTTCCCGATTGCAATTTGCGTAGAACATTAACACTTTCTCTCAATCACTCACAACATGTTCAGTACTGTCACAGCGGCGCGCATCCAATTCCCTATGTTGATCTTATGATACACAGATCATCTGTGAATTTCATTATTTATTAAATTTTTAACCAATAGAAACTGATTTCAACTGTTCCAAAAAAAAGTATCACGAAAGAAACGCAATGATTTCAAAAGATGTGTTTTTCTTTCCTTCTAAATTGGTTCTCTTTCTATGTATTCATTTATCTTTGTTGACTAAAATCCATTCCATATCATATTAAAAGAAGAGATTTGATAAACTTGTTAATTTCGTCTCAATTAGAATAATTTCTTCATTCGTTGCATCAAACTTTTGAATTCTGCCTTGTAAATCTTCGCCGGTAAGACAAAAATCGGAAATGTCATTATTAATGGACAAAATGAAATCAGATAAGCTATTAAAAAGACATATTTTTGCCATTGATGAGTTATACAAACCAACGTTAACGAGAAGATTAAACGCATGAGACTAAATATAATCAATAATATCGGACTTCCATACAAAGGAAGTTGTCGCTTTAAACATGTCCAATATCCCTTATCGTCTTGATTTTTAGCTACAACTTGTTTCATCTTTGTTGTACGATGTAAAATAAATAATGTCACAAAGAAATTGACCAAACCTGGAATGATGAGATTGATAAGGTTCATTGTTAATCGATAATACTCGATCCAACGTGAAGGAAAGGCGATCACACACCATGTATGTCGATTTGTTAATCGAGGATCGTCGATTATTTGTCGAATAAATGGCTCATACGATGAACTGATCAAACTAATGATTGTAAGAATTAAAACAACCCGTTTCGCCCACCAAACACTCTTAGGTTTACTGAACGAAATACCTTTGATGACATTAACACATCGTTCTATTGCCACACAGGTGATAAGCCAATTAAAACACATTGGACAGATGTTTATAAAGTATTCCAGTATGACACAACTCCATCGAGCGATTGATCGATTATTAACATCGGATATCTGCGTTTTTAAAAGATAAGAAAAGCGACCAATTAAAAATAATAACCCAAACTGACCAATGATAGGTAAATAGAATAAATATACGCCACAGCCAGTCGTCTGTACTTGTTTTTGCTTGAACACAATAAGGGATACGCCATTCGATAGAATTCCAATGATAAACATTAAAATAAGAATCGATAAAACAACTTGAATTACTAATGGTTGACTTGTTAACAACTGGTTCGCAAGAATATCTTGACCAATGATCATATCGAATGAAAATGTGTATTGCGATGCTGTTAAATGACACAATGATCCGTAAATACATTCGTTACACACACAGCTAAAATCCCAAATGCCGTTAAATTCATTTTGTACGCATTGTCCATTGTTCTGACAATAATTTGTTTTGCATTCAGTTAATGTCTCACGCTGAAATACAAGACAATCCGGATCGCGATATTTATCACAGAAACATAGATGAACTTCATCCATAAAACAAATCATGTGATGATTTCGCTGACAGAGATGTCCGTAATACTTGATTCTCTTAGCCAATGGCATATCACGTATTGTTTTGTTGAAAATAATATCATTGATATGCGGACAATGATTGGAATTGTCGATAATAGTCGTCACATTTGTCATTCTCTGTTTGAAAATACCAGCTATGTAAAAACCATGATGATTTGGCGTGACAATGATTTCGAGAAGGATGAATGATGATAAATATCGATCATTTGTATTATAAACTCGAAGCAAATTGTTCANAGTAGTCGAGTACTTGGCACTAGCCAATGTGCTGATTTGTTCAAACTATTTCGGAATAGGACATTTCAGAAAGAGTTGTCCTCAAAAAGATGAAGCAACCTGCCGAACATGTGGAACGAAATGTACAAATTTGGCTGATCATCAATGTTCAGGAGATCTGAAATATGTTCATTGTGGTGGTCCACATCATTCCAATGATTCAAAATGCAAAGTCGTAAAAGAATATAGAGCAGCCCTTACTCGTGTAAGTGACCGTGAGAGTTCCGTTTATTGGTGAAAACCAAGCAGGGAAAAGCACACATACAATATGTGAGAAGAACCGGTAGAAAAACAAGAAGAGGAGAAGAAACGAAGAAGAAGAGAACGAACGAACGAACGATAAAAAACACGACTGATGATTCAATATAGATATTTCCAGTTATCTTTTGGTATAATCCCTTATACATACACAAAGAACAAGATAGATGACAAATGGATCAGTGCCATTGAGGCAATAGACCAACTGAGGTAACAAACCGATGAGAAGAAATGGGAGACTGCCGAGAAATGAGAAGCGAAGAAAATCGGAGTTGATCCTTTGTTGAACTGTGGAAAATAAGAGAAGATAAATAGACTGAAGGAATTACCAATGATGCCACATATAAAAAGTATCAAACCACCAATAGCTAGAGTAACTCGAAATACATAATTAAGGTAAGCGATTTCATCAGTCAAGCTGCTTATTTGGCTTCATTCAAGAAAAGAATCAGTTTGACAATCATATACATCGAATAGTTTCGAAACCCTTGAGGCATTTATTTTTGTTTCTCGAAGTGAGTCTTACATTAATTTTGTCATCATGCAACACCACTTATATGTCCTTATTTTTGTGTAATTCAATTTCTTGTTCTTGTGAATTTCGAAACTAAAAGCTCATGAATGAAAGTGAGGATGGAGTCAGACTAGTAGATATATTCTGGATCTGTATTTAGCCTTGTTGTCGAACGATATTGCAACAAAATGATCAGTGATGGATGAGTAGTATGACGAAGACACCGTTATGTGCTCTTCTCTTTCATTTTTCTTTTTCAACATCAAATAATTCATCCCGAAAAAATGCGTTTCTATGCTCTCAAGTCGAAACAAAGTCTGATTATAAACTCTTATCACTGGATTTCAATTTCCTGTGGCATATTATGAACTAAAAAACTGTATTCATTTCTCTACTCAAGTGGGAAAATTTTCGAAGATAATGTTCTGTCTATGAATCCATGCATGATTGATTGTATGAGCAGAACAATACAAGTGCATGTTTGTTTTACTATCGACAAAATACCCATAACCGTATGGAGTATGGTCTCCGTCTGATCGAATTAATCCTTATTTCAGCACGTTCATGAGGAATAGAGCATTCCTTTTCGTGTATATCCACATTCTGTGTTTCATAATAAGAATGAAATCTGCATCTCAAAAAGGTTTAATTGATATTTGTTAAAAATAAAAAGATGATGATGATCGCAAAATTATTTGAATATTTTGTTTTTTCTGGATTGATTTGAATTCATTGGATATCTCATCTGAAACTGCATTTCCGCCGAAATGGATCGTTTTTAATGCCTAGACATAACGAAATTGGATCAGCAATGAACAATACAAAGACTCGCGTACTTTATTCATTTTTACGGCATCAATGAAATACAACACTCCTTGATATCCAATACTATTATCACTAAAATCGATAGTTGTCAACGCCTACGCAGAGAATCGAAAGTATAGATATTGAAAAAAAGACTTGAATTATACCGTGTTGTTTCGTAAAACATCGCTAAAATATTGTATTCCGACATCTCCGATTTCATTATTCGAAAGAAGTAGTTTGGTAAGTGTCTGTACATACGTACAAAAAGAATTCAAAAAAGAATCATGGTGGAAGTTACTTTATTTTCTTGTAACAAATTACTGAAATACTTTATACCTTCGATTTCGATCGAACTATTCGATAGATTCAAATGTGTGAGTGTCTATACGAAAATAAGTAAAAAAGGGAAAAATAAACAATCAAGGAAAGAATTTACATTATTAAATTTCAATGCAGTTGCGAGATGTTGTGCTCCTCGAGCATTGATTTGATTGTGACTGAGATCCAGTTTAATCAATGTCTATATGAAGATAGTTGAACAAAATAAAACACTCCACAATTCTGTACTTTATTGTATCTGAGTACATCAGAAAGAATTTGAACTCCATAAATGGTTATTTGATTGTTGGAAATAATTAATGTGTTTAAACTCTACATATATCAAATAAAATGAATTCAAATGAACAACAAAAGTACCGTCTCCGGATTTTGCAAAATATCAACAAGAATTTCCGTTCCTTTGTCTCCGATTTGATTAGAACCAAGATTTAATTCAACAAATGTCTGTTAGAGAAAAATAAAAGGAAAGATTATGATAAAAGAACAAAATTACTTTGACGTGTCCCAAAGTTGTTAGCAGATATTTCAGTGCAAAATGACCGATTTGGTTTCCGTTGATGTTTAACCCTTAAAAGCCGAAACGTCCCTTCCAAGGGACATTGAAAATTGTTTATAGAACGAGAAGCAGACCTTTTTACAAGAACTCGACCGCTTTTTCTTATTAGGAAGGTCCGATTGGTCATGAAAAAAGAAAAAAATCAGCCTTGAATCACTTTCCGATAAATTTATGACTTTTTTAGTAAAGAGGTCTTTTTGTAGGTTCTTTCTTCGGAAATATTCGATGACAGTGGCATGGAGTTTTGTTTTTCTGGACGATATTATATGCTTTGTGGTCAGATCAAACAATATAATGATCATCAATGACTTAAACTGATGTTTTCATACTAAGCGGTATCGTATAAAAAATGTCCCTCGGAAGGGACATTCGGTCATTACGTCATAAAATATTCTTTCTTTCTATGAAATCATATCGAGGGGCGTATTTATACATAGAATGTGCATACACGTTATTTGCGGACTATTTGATACCTTTTCTTCTTCTGATTTCGATAATTCTTTCATTTTGTGTGTATATAAATCTGTTTATATAGCACTGACACTTTCACCATTACCGCATAATATCGAGAAAAACTATTCAGCTATGTCAAAAGTGGTACGAAATGATAGTTCAGATGATGACGATATACTTTATTCGATTAATTCTGATATAAGTGATGTTCACGATGATGGTGACGAAGAAGATGATGAAACCGATGAATCATCTGAGGGTGAGGGTATCGAAGTCAATGCAAGTCAAGATGAATCGTGGTCAGGTAAACGATTTAAGTCTAATCTACCAATTTATAATGGCGAACTCCAATTATCAAGCAGTTTTCGATCAGAATTACCTCGAAGTCCATCACCAATAGATTATTTTCGATTATTCCTCACACCAGAGTTAGTTTCATATATCGTAGATCAATCTAATTTATATAGAATTCAAACAAATCGAACCAAACAAAGTCCAATGAACGAAACTGATTTATATTGTTTGCTCGGTTTTCTTTTTTATTCATCGGTAGTACCTTTATCAAATAAACGTGACTATTGGTCGTCTTTTAGCCGGAAACCGATTATTGCAAATGTTATTACTCGTGAGCGATTATTTTATCTTTTATCAATACTTCATTTCCATGATAATTCGGTGGAAAAAATGCAAAGCCGAAAAAGTTGAACCACTTTTAAAGCATTTCAATAACCGATGTAAACAAATTGTTCAACAAGAAAAAATCTCTCTATTGATGAGCAAATGATAGGTTANGAGAAGAACTGTGCCGGCGACGTCAAAGGTAAAAAACACTTGGTGGATGTATCAAACGTATTTGGTGTTGCGCTCATCGATTGCATTTGGTAATAATCAATGCTTTGGGATTTTGGAACACGCCGCAGAAAGTCAATGCTGCTGAATTAATTAATAAATTGCAAGAAATTTCAGCGACAACGAATGACGGTACTGCAAAGGAACAAGAAGATCTTATTTCTGCGACCGAATCAAATCTATCAAAATCAGGTAATGCTTTATTTTTGTGAAAATTTCACATACATACGAACTCGTCGTTTATATAAGAGGTCGAGGTTTCATAGTCTCAGCTAAGTCACTATCTGGTATAGGAAGGAACAATGTTTCGCATGACACATACTATCCTACGTCTCTTTTCTTTCTGCTTGTGTCGATATATGAGTATGCCAACATCGATCATAGACAAAAAAAAACATAGGGTGGGGGTGTCGAAGTCAATGTAAGTCAAGATAAATGGTGGTCAGGTAAACGATTTTAGTCTAACCTACCAATTTATAATGGCGAACTCCAATTATCTCGAAGTCCATTACCAATAGATTATTTTCGATTATTCTTCACACCAGAATTAGTTTCATGTATCTTAGATCAATCAAATTTATATAGAATTCAAACAAATCGAACCAAACAAAGTCCAATGAACGAAACTGATTAATATTGTTTGCCCGGTTTTCTTTTCTATTCATCGGTAGTACCTTTACCAAATGAACGTGGCTATTGGTCGTCTTTTAGCTGACAACCGATTATTGCAAATCTTATTACTCGTGAGCGATTATTTTATCTTTTATCAATACTTCATTTCCATGATAATTCGGTGGAAAAATGCAAAGCCGAAAAAGTTGAACCACTTTTAAAGCATTTCAATAACCGATGTAAACAAATTGTTCAACAAGAAAAAATCTCTCTATTGATGAGCAAATGATAGGTTACAAAGGTACAACAGCACCAACATCATATAGGCAGTACATGCCGAACAAGCCTACCAAACGGGGTTTTAAAGTATGGACTAGGTGTGGAGTATCGGCGTTTGTGTACGAAATGAATTTGTATTATGGTGCATCAAAGGCTGCAACAGTCGATACATCATTACTTGATTCCTCATTGAAGCGTGCTTTGCGTACAACAACAACAACAGCAACGATGCCAAACGAAAATCAATCATTTGATGATCAACGTCAATCACTTCTCAAAGACTATGGTGCTTCAGGGATGGTAGTTTTAGATTTGATTAAAGATGTGCCAGTAGGTACTTCAATTTATGTTGATAATTACTTTGCATCTACAAAACTAGATCTATAAATGGTGAACCCTAAAATTAATATAATGCATTAGTCGAGACTGTTCCTGATCAGTATACTTACTTCAGTGGTACCACCTGGTAAGGTATACATTGAGATTGCATCGAATCCAAGAAGATTGGCATGAGCTTGCACAGTTGGAACTTTGAAATCCATCAGAACCATGTATGGATTTTTGAGTCCTATTTAGTATTAAGAAAAAAGGTAATTCGGCAATATATATTATACCAATCGAAAAATCCAAACATGTTCCACCTCGATTAATAGCCATCTGTCGAAATCTATTGAAGACATCTCGACTTCCAGACCATCCGGCACCGCAAAGCTTAGCTTCTACCTCAGTGAATTGAAATAAATACAAAAGTGGACGTCCTCCAAATACAGTTTGAAATTGAGGAAGTACCATAAGTTCAAGATAACTGGCTTGAAAAGTAGGATCACAAGGAGAAGAACCTAACAAAAGAAGTGTAAAATTTATCAACGAATTATATTGACTGGAAAGATATTGATGCAGGCCATAGGCAGGATTTCGTGGACAATAATGAGGTGCAATCTGTAAATATTCTGCACAAAATGTAGTGTTAGTCGTACAGTTCGGTCTATATGCACAATATGTATCGAAAGCCCAATAGTCGATACCTGCATGTTTTGCATAAAGTATCTCTTGATCCATTATACTCTGCATATCTTCATTATACGAAGTGTTGGTAGGTGAAAGAACTGTTGCAAAAAATGGTAGGCGATAATGAAATTTTTCGGGACTGAGACATCGATGAGAATAGAAGGAGATGGGATCGTATTGACCATCGAACAAATTCCAGGCATCCCATCGAATGACTCCTACCGATGGGTGAGCTTTTTTATTCGCTGAAGACGTCGCAAAAATCAATACAAATAGTATTAAACAGAAGAATTGAAAGAATCTTGCCATCGAAATTGTGACTGTCGCTGTTGTATGTGTTGAGAGAAAGTAGATACGATGCACTATCGTTCTTATCTTTCTTAGCAAAGTGTGTTTTAGATTCCCTCTCAGTATACAACGTTTTATCAACTAAACATATAAACTCTGAATTTATAGATAACACTTGAGAATATAGACAAGAAAAATATCTCAATATCATCTAAATATCATAGATCATATCTTGAAAAGAGAATTACAAATGCATATTTTATTTAGTCATTTTCTATCATTAGAAGTTCTTTGATGAGTATGATAAATCTTTAGACACTAAATGATTATATTCAATGTTATAATGACAAAAATGATAAATATCTTCTTCTATTAGTACAGCTGTAGTAAGAAAACTGAAATGAAATCTTTACGAATAATACATGAACAATTTAGGATTTCATAGTGCATTGATAAAAAAGGTCAAAAATACAAATATTAAATCAACTGTTCGTTCGAATCCGGTTTTGTTTGTGAACAATTTTCATTGAATTCACACTATTATTGAACAACATTGAAATGATCATCACGTCTTCGAATCTCTCGCTTTGGATGTTTCGATTCGATTGAGTTACGACACTGTACATAAACTATATTCTAGAACGAGAAACTTTCTAATTTTTCATGACGAATGAGTTATTTGTTTATGTATAGAGTTGTGATTATAATACATATAAATCGTTGAAATCTAATTTCATGATGAAAAGTGTTAAGATTAAGGTGCTGTCATACACACTTACATTTGCACTAACCCATTTCTCATCCTCACTCTTACTTAATTATTTCTCACTTGGTGAGAAAAGTTTGTTTCAATTTGATTGGCTCAGATAAAAAACAAACTTCACGAACTTCTATCGAGCCTTTAGCTCTTTCTTTAAGAAAAGAAGATAAAACCGATAGTATGATGGTTTAACGTCAAAAGAGGACATTTAAAAAAAAAATTTAAAATATGTTAATCTGTTTCGGATGAGAATGTGAGTATGTTGCTAAAACTATACTTGAATTACAACATTAGTTAGAAAATAAGGAATATTTCCCAACAAAAAAAAACAGACAGTTAAGAATTCGACTACTCCCAATTGATCGAATGTTGACGAACACATGTTTTAAGGTCAAAGATTTATAAATTGATTACTAAATAGAATCGGAAAAGAATCTTGACTATAATTCATTCATAATTTCATTTTATGATCTGTTTATATTGTTATTTTTCTCTAAAACTTTGCCAAATAACTGTTACTTAGTTCTGCACAAAACGTCCTCTAGTTTTACGTACAGCGTTTTCTATTAAAATTATCATCCTCTTCTATTGTATATATTGCGGCGATATTTTTTAATATAATATTTTTCTCTTTATACTTAAGAGCAAAACAGAAACAGATAAGAGTGCCATTAAAAAATCTTCTTGTGACATCAGATGTTATTTAATCATTTTATTCTTATACAAATCATGACATCTTTAAATGAAGCAACAATTTATGAAATAATTCTGATACATTTGAATAGTATTGGAAGAGGTATTATTGTATTGTTCTTGGAACTTTTGGTGGGATTATGAATTTGTACATATTCACACAACGTACAATGCGTAAAAATCCATTTTCAATATATTTAATTGCATTTAATATTTCAAATCTTTGTTATATTTGGTTAAGTTTATTTCCATTATTTTTCAATCAAATTTTGAATATTAATCCAACAACTTATAATCTTTCTTATTGTCGTTTTTATTATTATTTATCATATATATTAAATATGCTTTGTCCATCTTTTCTTATTCTTGCATCAATTGATCGAGTTTTAATAAGTTCACCAAATGCATTGACTCGACAGAAAAGTACACGTCGTTTAGCTTTTATTTTATTAATTCTCGTAACATTTCTATGGTTTATATATTATTGTCAGTATTTATTTCGTATCAATATGAATATATTAGTTGGTCCAATTCCTATATGTTATTTCGATCTGGGTGATTATTCATTGTATGTTAATTATTCAGCTATTGTCTTAGGTTTAATTCCACCTATTTTATTGAGTATTTGTGCTCTAAAGACATTTCAAAATTTACATAGAGATCGTTTCTTGGAAGGTAATGAAAATCAAAACAGACAAATAACACAAAATAATCGTCAGTTAATTCGTATGTTATTTGTTGAGATTTTAATTGATGTTGTCTGTACAATAATTCAACCCATAGTTTTATCCTATCTATTTACTACTATCTATGTTGTGAAGAGTTCTCAGCAGAGAAATATTGAGAGTTTTATTTTAAATGTAAGCAATTTTTTGAGTTATGTGCCGAATTGTACAAGTTTCTATTGTAATATCAGTTGCTCGAAGAAATTTCGTAAGCGCTTGATGACAACTTTTCGTAAAACGAATGAAGTTCGCACTTTACAAGAGAATTAAGAAGTTATAAGAGAGACTATGACGAGACTCGAAATAAATGTTCGTTTGTTTATTATATACGTTGTTTGTGTAATCGTTGATGTATTTATTATTGATGAAAAATAGAATAAAATACAGAATGGCCTTAAACAAAGACGATCTTGAGAATAAGAATGTGCACGAAGAAAATATACATATATGTACATCAACACTCTCATCCTTATTCATATCCTTTCATCTTTAAACTGGTTGTAACTTTCATAGTTTTACAACAGCAGTTTAATACTTAGAAAATCAATCTCATTGTTGAGGTTGTAGGTGTAAACATGTTTTCTTCACTAACACTCTGATCTACTTCCACGTCCATCTAAACTCACCATATTCCCAACGTCACTGATATTATGGGTGTTATTTTATCTTTACTTTTATAAAGAATAAAGTTAATCTGCACCTTAAAAATGAAGATAAAAGGATTATCTTTATATTTTATAATAGAAAAAAAAATTAAAATAAAGTAACACCTCGAACCCATATCTGAAATATATTGACATTATAGTGTCATTCTCATTTGTCCTTCTAAAACATGAAAGTGTTTAATCATAATTTTGTTTGAAAACAATATCTTTTGCACGGCGCTAAATTTTAATATTACTTGACATGAATTATGTTCTACTTTCATTATTATATCGTACGTATGTTTAATTGGTGCATTCTTCATTCAACTATAGTACACTGTATGTACTTTCACAGTGCATGTGAAAAACTATATTGAATACGTTTCACTCATATTTTTACATTATTATGCGTCTTTTTCTTTTCTTCATAATAATCGAAGTAATATTTGTTTGTATGCACATTAGGGATGTTACTTTATTTTGATTTCTATTTAAAATTTTAACGTAATAAAAAAATAATCATTCAATAAACAACAGGTATTAAGCAAAACATATTTTGTTATATAGAAGTATTATTGTCGGTGTGGGTGTGGGTGAGTGAGACTCATGTGTCAATATGTTATCCACACTCACATCCTCAATATTAACACATTCAAACAAATAGGTTTAGTAAAAATGAAATCAGCAAATATCGATAAGTTCTAACTATTTTTTATTGAAGATCGAAAGAATATTTTCACTAATGTTATGCAAAAAATTGTGTGATATATCGAAGAAAATCAAGGTGTAGGTAAATCTTCTCTCATCGCACACTCGTACACCCTCAAGATTAGATCAATCAATCATTTTTCTCTATTATGATCACCTCGTTATAATGAATGATTTTCTTAGATTCCAACAGTGTTCACATTGAAGAGTTTTTATTATAATGTATGTTACATTTTTAGTGCACTCAAAAAGTGAGTACACTACTATAATCGGTCTGTGTGTCCGTCTGGCCGTTTACACGAGCTCTTCACAACTACATTCGATTGAACTGAAACTTTGTGCACATAATTGTCTCATCAATATCTCGGTCGAGAGAAGAAGATGAAAATGATCTCTCAAGAAATGGCTGAGTTATCGAAAAAATTGTCATTTTTGATCAGACCATCCCTGAGGGGGAGTACAGGGATTTTTCAAAACAAAAATTTCTCTCAGAATTATCCACAACATATATAAATCGACTCAGTTTTTAACGCTGATTCCGAATCTGATACTAGTTTTGAACAAAATCGTAGCTTTCTAACGAAACATCGCCTGAAAAAGGTCTCAAAATGCACAAAAACTGAATTCAGAAACCAAATTGCCTAGTTTCTCATGATAA